TAACTCTGTAGGGACAGTGATAGCCATGCTAACTATGAAGGGACAGTGATAGCCATGCTAACTATGTAGGGGCAGTGATAGCCATGCTAACTATGTAGGGACAGTGATATTCATGCTAACTATGTAGGGGCAGTGATAGCCATGCTAACTCTGTAGGGACAGTGATAGCCATGCTAACTATGAAGGGACAGTGATAGCCATGCTAACTATGTAGGGGCAGTGATAGCCATGCTAACTATGTAGGGACAGTGATATTCATGCTAACTATGTAGGGGCAGTGATAGCCATGCTAACTATGTAGGGACAGTGATAGCCATGCCAGTCCAGGGACTGACCGCAGTTCTACTGTAAAGTGCCTTGGTCAAGGTCAATGATCGCCATCCCTGGTATGTAACAACCATACCATGCATATATCTTTAGGTTAGTTGACTATATTAATTAGGCTATGTATACTTAAAAAATAAAAAATCCACCACCCCCCTTCTTCTTTTTTTTTTTACAGTTCAACTACTGGGTATGAGTATGTGTGCTGGGTCACCTAATGAAGGTTTAAATGAATGTTACAGGGGTTTTGTTGTAAAGAAAGTTAAAACAAGACAATAGTCTCAGCTTTGTGCTCCTGAAGCTATTGTAGTTGATTCTCAAATGATTTCATTGATTTACACAAAATCTGTGCATTTATAAAGGTAAAACAAAGAAAAAATTATAGATTATTGTAATTAATAAAAGTGTTCTTTTTATTCATTGGTTCACTAAAAATTAAACATCATTTAAAGCTGAATAGTCACATTATATGTTGATACATAAAAAGACCTGATCAGGATAAAATAAGGTGATATACACCAAGTGTTCATGCCATATTTCCAGCGCTTATCTCTCTTAAAATACTGTTTTTTTTTAATCTTAGACTTTTGTTCATTCTTTCCAGAATTCATTGGAAGGTGCTAATAACTTAGCTACTGTAGGCTACTTCCATTGTACTACCGATGCACTAGTGCAGTATCGTACCTCTGTTTTTATTGTACATTTACACAAAGGGCTTTATTTTAGATCAACTTATATTTCTTCCAAAAATTTTAGGGATCATCGAAATGGTTTTGATGAATGTGAGCAGTTCTTTTTGTCCTTTTGGGTCAGCACAGTTTCTGGTCTCTTAACTCTGCTATAGCAGCCTTTTTTTTATTGTTGTAGAATCAGACACTCTAAGCTGTAGATTCTGTCTCTGGGTTCCTCTGTGACCGTCTTGGTGACTAATTTTAGTAGGCTCGTCGTTCAGGATTTTATTTTTTCTCCGTTATTGCTCTATGGTCTCCCAAATACAATAAATTATTATTCTAAACTTAACCAGGCTCGATGCCACAGAGATTGTTTCTCATTTGGTATTCATTTTTTTTTTTGGGTAGAACTTGTTGCTTTCCGAGCTGTTGTAGCCTTCTTCACGTTGTCAAACAGGTTCTTGATTCCACAGATCTGGCAGTACCACTGCCTCTTTGTTCTACAGACAGCAAAAAAAGCTTTTGTGGTTAATCACATTTTTATTGAGAAATTAAGTTGTGACATTTTTTAACATGCATTTAGGCTTTTTCTGGTTAAATTTCACCCTTATAATAAGAAGGGAATAAAACTTTCTTTAAAGTTGTAGGGAAACAGCTGTTCCAACCGTTAAATTTCCGAATTCTCCCGAGTTTTGCACAACTTTCACTAGTGAATAAAGTGAATGTGATTGGTTGATTATCAAGGGGCCGGAATTGCAAGCAAGTTTGATTGTGGCCGGTTTGTCTGAAGCATCTTGCTAACCAGTTAGCAACTTAGTGCTAGCAGGTTCCCAATGGGAAATTCCATTGGGACCAAGTAGCACTAAATTGGTGACTTAGAAACGACACTGTCAAGGAACGCTATGGACAGAGGAAACATGCAAGAGGAGGAGAGTTTAGTGTCGGAGGTCGTGGATGAGTCTCCTCCTTCATACATTTTCTATTTAGAGGAGGAAAGCGGGGATGAAGATGTTGCGGAAGAGGACGCCAGGGGGGCAGAAGCTTGGTTTGGTGTAGAAGGCTTCCAGCCGTACATGTTTGAGCCCTTGCCTCGCAACGCTGCCAGTTCTGTTAGCTCTACGCCTGCTGAAGACACAGACGTCCATCCCCGTGAACACTGGGACGGAACTCAATGGGAAAAGAAATTATTCTTGTTTCTTATTTGAACCGTTGCGTATATTATCTGCGACATATGAATCAAGATGCTATGACTGAAAAAATTGATTGACAGATGACCGTTGATAAATGATTGGCTGAAATTAGGTGTAAAAGCTGACGTATAACTAACTGGCCTGCATAAGATAACGGGAAAAAAACACAGATTTTAAGATTTTTTTATTAAATAGAATTTTTCAAACTTTCGGGACAATATGATCTGATAAAGAGTACATTTATATACATGTTTAAGTCAGAATGATTTGACATTTAAATATGTTTTCCCTAAGACTTCAAGTATCTTTGTCTAAAAATTGTATTTGTTTGATGAGCAAAAACACTGAAGCCGATCTAATAAGCAAAAGAAAAATGAATATGTGGGAGGAAAAAAAACAGATCATTTTAGCTCTGAATCAACAGTGTTGGATCTGAACACTGGAGGCCGTTTTTTTCTTTAAGATCTTCCCGCAGACTCACCTCCTGCAAATTCATTCAAACTGGTGTCCTTATTAAGTGTCAAATATGTAAACAAACTGGTTCCCAGTCAGTTATTAACTAGTTAGTTATGGCAAACTGAAACACATCTGTCTTGTAAAATCCTGGATTATCACCCAGCTCTGCTGCTGAATCATCTGTTTAATCTTTATTACATTTTAAGATGAAACATAAAAGTATCTGGCTGTTATTTGATCCTTAAATTATTGAATTAGTTTGTTTGATATTGATTCCTTCTGATGTGTCACATCAGTAAAGGTAACAGAGCTTGGATAGTTTCTCCTAATCCTGCATCAGGATGCAGCAGTCGATCCTGCTGCAGTCCGCTGATCCATCCCCAGCACTCACTCCATCTTTGATCTGCATCTGTATCCCTTCCTGTAGACTTCTACTCCATTCTCCCTTTAAACAGCCCCCTCCCTCCTCCTGCAGAAAGTGCGTGACTCTGCATGCTCCTTCAGCACCCGCCGCCAGTGCTGAGGAGGGGCATTTCCATCCTTTATAAACAGGCTGTTAAAGGAAGGTAAATCCACTGCAGATCTGCAAATTATAATCTCACAGGGAATGATTGGAAATAAAAATAAGTCAAGAGACAGAGGAAGATTATAAGAACTAAATATTTCCTGTATTTTAATGTGATTCAAGTCTTTATTCATTTTTTTTCCGTCCCTTCTGCTGGGAATCCTGTATTTTGCATCCATTAATTTATTATACCACATTTTATGCAATTTTAGATTTCCTTTTAATGTGATATATAGATTAATATTTGTTTTTTATAGTCATTAGTATTAAATAACAATGTTGTGAATTAAAGGCATAGTGAAGGATATCCTTTTTCCGGGTGGATCATCAAAATAAGTGGTCCTCCTTACTGTCAATCATTCTGGTGATATGTTTACTAAGGCCGTCCTACGCGCTCGTCCCCATTTTCACTCACCGGTGGTGAGTCTGACATGATGGAAAAATTGCAAATCTTCTTTTGAAAAGTAAGCTTGTATGAGCGATGCAAACAGCAACTTTAAAACCGAGCGTGCACGAAGCGAAATGAGCTTGTGCACGCTGTTGCACGCGTTTAATAGGCGTTTGCTCTCTAGAGTGGTTACAGGGTTGTGCACGTGCATTTTCTTTTAAGTGGGGAGGGCAGGTCTTTTTTTAAAATTTGCAGAAATCCTCCAATATACCTTTAAATTGTACCTACTAATGTTTTTAAATCTATTGTCATTTGAAACTGCAATATTTTTTTTTTCATTGATATTCTCGCAAACATCAGAACAAACTTATTAAATTTTGCAGCTTCTATCAACGATTATTTAAAAATAAAATAACATCATATTTTCTCTTATTGATTTTAAATACTTATGGGAAGAATAATGAAATGAAGGGATTCATTTTACCCGATCACTAAAGGATGCTGGTTTTTCTAATCTGCATTATCTGTTTATTATGGAGTAAAAAAAAATAAAAAATAAAAAATTTACATCATTGGTATCAATATTCTTACTGTTAAAATAAAGTTTGTTATTCAACACACAAAAAAGAACATAATAGACTGCAATAAATCAGTAATATTTGTACATAAGGAGATATTGTTATTAAATTCACCACTTTATGAAACTTAAATACATTATTATTGTAATTAAAAATTATTACTATCATATAATTCAATAGTCAATCACTATATTGATAATGAATGTATTTAAATTGTATAAAGGGGTGAATTGAATAAAAAAATTTCTTATCTACAGATATTACTGATTTATTGCAGTTATGATCTATTTTGTGAGTTGAATAACAAACTTAATTGAAAAAAATATTTAATCTGAAGATAGGATTAAAAATATTGTTTAAACAGTTTTGTTTTTTTATCCAGTGAAACCTGAATGGATAAAGGCGATAAAACCAATCAAATGATATCAATATGCTGCCCCCCCCTCCACCTCGTCTGTCTGTGTGTTTTCATGCATGTGAGTGTGTGTTGGGGGGAGGTGGTGACAAGCTGCATCTGGCCCCTCCTGTCTGCTAATGTGCTCTGTCATTAGAGAGGGAGTGGGAGATCGAGGTACGGATGGTGTGATGGAGAGAGAGAGAGGGTGAGGGGACTGTAACAGCGAGGCTGATAGAGGGAGCGGGCAGACAGAGGAGTAAAGGAGCAGCAGTAGACCAGCGTGAAGGGGGGGGACGCAGCAGGAGAAGCTGCTGTTGCCTGCCGTTGCCATGGCGCATCCGTCTCCGAGTGCATCGCCGGGCGTACGTCGTCGTAGCGATGGCTCAGTAAGAGAATGTCTGTTCTTCCCCATCTCTGAACGCAACGAGCAGGAGAGGCTGGAGGCCCTGGTGCGCCGGAGAGCCGGGGGCGCCGATAGAAGAGGAGGAGGAGCAGGGGAGGCCCGGGACCACCTGGACAACAGGCCCAAACGGTGGACATGGGGAGGACCGCCTGACGGAGTGGAAGGTGAGTTCAGCCTGAGCTGGGAGCTTTGTTATGGATCAGGATGATGTCATTGAGGAATAAAGAAGGGATGGGGGCTGGGAGGGATGGAGGTCAGGTGGAGATGGAAGAGGGGGATGGTGGGACGAAAGGGTGGGGACATGGGAGGTGAGACGAGGATAGGAAGTGATGATATGAGGAGGAGAAGTGATGTAGAGCGCCAGTGGAAAGAAAAGGGTGTGGAGCTGCAATGCAGGAGCAGCTCAGCACTTTGTCTGCAAACCTCAGAGGGGTTCGGAGAGGCTGGCAGCGCTGACTGACATCATCTCAGAGCAGGAAGCCTCAGCATCACAGCAGGTATGGAGATGGACAGATTTTACATGTCCCTGTTAACATGCTACAGCTGTGTTTGTCCTCTTTTATCTCTCTGGGCTGATTTTCAGCAGAGTAACGCGTCTCACCTCGAGCACAAGGCCGCTAACATAAACTCAGACAAGGTGCGACATCAGGTTGTGATTTCTCGGGTGGGCTAGCATCCGTCTTTAGATTTAACTGCTTTTGTCTGTCCTTTCTTGTCTTTTCTGAGATGTTTGCTGTTGTTATTGCAGCCTAGCCTCACCAGCTAGATTTCATACTGCGATACCTTCATATACCCATCAATTATTCACCAAACCCATCAGCTGAGCCGTCCTGGCACCGATCTGGGCGCAGGGTCCGCCCAGGAGCTCCCCTGGCTCCGGTCCGGCTGCCTGTCAGGCAGAAAGGCCCACTGCAGCAGAAACAGCAGTCTCATCTTACACCATCCGCTAAAGGATGGAGACGAGACTCGCATTCAAAGCTGCTGCCATCCAAAGGTGCGATGCACATTTCTCCGAGGAGTCGAGCTGCATTTTAAAACCTAAAGATTCAAGAGATCCAATGATTTTCATCAGATGAGTCAAAAAGGAAGCGGTGGAACCTTTCAGATCAGTGTCAGTTTGCCTGAAAAGAGGCAGATTTAAAATGTAAAAGCATCCAAAAGGCTTAAGTTTCTCCATTTAATCACCCAGATTGTAAAACAGCCTATAATTCCTTATGGGCTCAGATTATTGATCAACAGGTGGAATGTTTTAGAATCTAAAAAAAATGTCCACATTTTCCTTAAAAAACTTCAAAATCAAACAACTTCCTTATCTTAAACACATCAAGAGCACCGTTTTAATGCGTAAATGAAAATAATTCAAGTTCCTTCATTTTCTACCTGTGAGGAGTGATTTCTTTTGTTTTGTAGTCATTTAAAAAATTATAAGATTTAGCAGCTCAAAGCCTGATTGCTGCATCTATTAAAGCTCAAATTAGATTCTAATCAAATGCTTCCGGTATCAGTAATATGATCAAATAAATGGTTGAAGAAAGAGTTAAAATTCAAAGCACAGAGATGATGAACTTGCATGTACAGTTTATTTTCCATAAATGTTTGTCCATACAAATAAATCCTAACATGAACGGTGACCTCTCTCTGCTTGTACATCAGAAAATTGTTTCTTCTGTTCATGAGGTCGGAGGGATTATCCTGCAGTTTGGCGTTGTGGTAATCTTTGAGCATCCTCTTCTGCAGGGTCTAAAAGCGACGGTCGATACGGATTTGGATGCATTACAAACAACACGATGACCTACTAGTGGTTAAGAGAGCAGACATTTCAGCTCATCAGTTTGATCATATGGGATATTAAAACAGCAGGTACAGTGGAACCAGGCAGGAGACGGGTTTGGCTACCGTCTTTATATTTTCCTCTGAGGTTCATCTGTGTGTCGCAGTGAAAACATTCTGCAGCAGTTGCGATTGATTTGCTCATTACTCTGGAAAAACAAGACAAATCAAATTTAGCTTCCTTTAAGCAGAAATCCAGGATCTTATTGGCTGTTATTGAACCCTGGTTCCCCTGGATTGTGGTGGGAAACCATTGGCCTTTTTCCACTTTTCTGCACTGCAGACATTTATTGGACTACATTCCATATATAAATAACAGATTTTAATATTTTATGATTATATGAGCTGAATTTTAACATTAGAACAGAACATTTAAGAAAATCCACCAGTCTGGTAGCAGAAGTGACAGGATAGGAAGTTACATTTAATGCAAAAGCTGATTCAGATGAAGAAGATTAGATTTCCAGAGGTTTCTACTGTAGGCACTATACCAGCTGTTTGTGAGATGTGATGTTTTGGTTTTTAGGTGCTTTGTTTATGTACTGTCTGAATAGATGATAATCTATCTGTGCTGCTTCCTGCTCGAAGCCTTGCGCTGACCACACTCAGAACCACGTTTCTTTCCTGAAAAGATCACCACATATGGCTGGATGGATGTTTCTAACACCTCTGTGTTTCAGAAACAGCTGTCTGCGCGCGTCTGTGTGAATGTGTAACGCTTTGCTTTTTCCACTCTGCTTCACCTGCTGCCCAGGTAACCCTAAGACCCTGCCCCGCCATGCCATTGGCTCCGCTCAGCCCAATGAGCTTCCTGCCGCTCCCAGCGCCAGCCAATCCCCCAACGGTACAGACCTCATGACTCTGTGTGCCACGCCCATCCCCACCTCCTCCGCTGCTGTCTGTGGTCTGCAGCCGATCTGGTGTCTGCATGCCTGTCGTCGTGTTTGTGTCGTCAAACTGGCTGTGACAGAATCCTAAACTGTGTGCTCGTTGTTAAAGGAGTCTGGTTCTAAAGCTTCGCAATGCTGCCTAAATCAAAAAACTAAATAGAAGACATATCAACTGATAAGCATGCTTTAACATTTTATGTTAGAAATGCTTACATCTGCATTATGTTCACTTTTTCTATTACATTTTTATCCATTTATTAAGATTTATTAACAATTTTTGATTGTTACCTTCTCTAAGGTCCTATAAGGTCCTAGACCTTAGAGAAGGCGCGCTCGATTTGCTTACCCAGTTGTCCAGGAATGATATTAATATTATTAATAAGTATTTCGCGCGCACGTTATACTTATTGCGTGGCCACGAAGTAGTATTTCGTGCGCACAAAAAATTTTTTGACCATGTCATCAGAGGGGCTCCGTACGAAGGGGCCAATCCTCTTTAACAATACAAATCAATCCATAATAGTTGCCTTCCCCAGTCATCCTCAGGACTGAAATTACTATTTTTTGCTAATCTTCTTTTGTGTCAGTAGACAAAAATAAAAGGCTTTTCCCCTTTTTTGTATAATTACACTTGTAATTTTCTTCTTACTTACTTAATTATTAGGTTTTATTTCCAATTGTTTAGCTCTGGAGTGGTCCGCTTTTAGGCCTTTTAACAGGACATTATCCCTGATTAAATGAGCCTCTGCTGGAAGATATGTCCTAATGTTAGAGTAGACCGATAGCAGATCAATGAAAGTGTCTCCTGGTTCAAGGCGACCTGACACAAGGTCGGTTTGAAACGTTCGACTCCATTTTTACATCTAGAAAAAAAAATCTTGAAAGGAAAAAAAATGGCAAAAGATAGGAGAAATAAGCAATCTATAAAAATATTTTTATTTTTGTATATATTTCTGACAATAAGCCAAAACTCTTTTACAGTCTTTTTACATTTATTAAAGAGCAGATCAAATCTACAAAAAAAGCTTCAGAAATCTTCTGAATAGATTTTGATCAGCTGGAACTTTTGTAGGTTTATTGAATAAGTAAAATGAAATTGGATTGTGACCCAGGCTCACTAATGTTCAGCCAGCACTGCCCATCCTCATCACAGCAAGAGCTGCTCTGCTTCCTGTGCTTGCAGCCAAGGGCCTGGTTTAACCATGCATACAGACAGTTCTCAGCAGGAAACCCAGTCCATAACCAGCATGCTCCACCCCCCATCACACACACACACACACTGATACACACCATCATAATACCAAACAATCAGCCTGTAGCTATCCAGCAGCAGACCCAGCCCAGACAACATCCAGCAAATAGTTTTAATCATTACTGACCCTTTTCATAGTCCAGCAGCTGTTAAAAATAACCACTTTCTATTTATTTCCCCATTTTGCTTTTCCAGAAAATATGTGCAAATGAATTTAAAATTTTCTTAAAAATGTGTCTCCTTTTTGTGTTTGTTTAAATGCCCTTACCTACTTTGGGGGGTGCCATCATTATTACAATATTGTTTCTACATTGATGAACAATTTAGGATCTAAACAACTTATTGGAGGAGAAAAAGGTCTAAAAACTCAGGACTGCAAAACCAAAAATACAAAATACCTACTTAAAAAGGTAGATTAGAATATAAATAAAATTAATAATAAACTTACCTACAGTGTTGTGCCTGAACGCGTTCATTGAACGAAAGTTCATGAACTCGTTCATATTTTGGGCGAACGTGAACTGAACGTACTGCATTATTGCCTGATGAACGTTATTGTGAACTCGTTCATTCTGGTGTCTGTGAACGGCACGCTCTCTCAGTTCAGCTCCGTTCAATAGGTTGCCAGATTTCTATAAAGCCCTCCAGGCGAAACCCCTCTAAATCTCACCGTAAACAGTCCTTAATATATAGCGGGAAAAACACCCAATCTGGCAACACCAGCTACCAGCGTCGTAGCCCGCAGCCGCGTGCGTCATCAAAACAAAATGCAGCGTGGAAGCCAAAGCAGCATGGAGGCTACCGTGGAGGCGACAAAGCAGCAGTATGATCACTTAAAACAGGTTTATGACCAGGTGGTCGGTGAGGATGATGGCAACAAGTTTGCCCGCCGGCTTTCAGTAAAAAAAATCCGCACTTCAGTAACCTTAAATTCCTACCTCAGCCTGGTCCCTCAGTTTGTGTTGGTAAAATCTTCTTGAGCGGAGGTCTTCAACAGGGTATCCGCGACCCCTAGGGGGTCTACGGAGGTACTGCATGAGGGTCTGCATGGTTAGTTGATATTTTTATATTCCCCCCCTGCAATTTTTTCCCCCACTAATTGAAATGTCTTTAAATACTCATTAACATGAAATCAACACACTGTAGTAAACAGATAAATGGAGGCAGAAGATGTCTTTCAGTCATCAATGCACACATTCAGCGACACACAGGAGCTCTTTCAAGCTGGGCACCGTTTCCTTCACAACAACCAGGAATCAGAATCAGAAAAACTTTAATAATCCCAGGGAGAAATTAATTTCTTTACATTACTCCATCTGTAATAGAGTGACTATAGGACACAATTTCATACAATATATATAGTTAGGGGGTCTCGCTCCATCTCACCATCAGTTTGGGGGTCCTTGGTCTGGAAAACATAGAAGACCCCTGTTCTTGAGGGTTTTACTATCCATGTAACTTGTTTGTTAAACCTGCCTGGTATAATTTTCCAGGATTCCAGTATTCCATTTAGTATGTATTGAAATGGAATTTCAAATGGAAAAAATTATTAAAATAAAAAAAAAACATTTGCACCTTAAAGACTACTTTCCTATTTTTCTTTTAATAATTACTCATAAAAAAGACCATTCAAGCAGCACATTTTTCCTGATGTTTTTGAGAATATACTGTAGGGGTGAAAGCTGCAGCTGCTACTAGTGTGAAGTGAATGGACAGCAACAAAGCGTTAAAGCAACAATGGGGAAATGCTGTCCCCTCAATGCTAATGTAAACCCTGGTTGGATAAGGATTCAAAACTGGATATGAAGATGAAATCTGACGCACAGTTTCAGAGTTATAACTGATAAAATAATTGCTGTCTGTGGTTCTACAGTAGGCTATGGTGTAATTGAGCAATATATGAAAAAAAAAAGAACTATGAACTAGTTCATTTTTTGGTTTTGAATTATGAACTATGAACTGAACTAGTTCATTTTAAAATGTGTGAACTGAACTTTGAACTAGTTCACGTAGAAAGAGAACTTTCCCAACACTGCTTACCTATATAGAAATACAGAAAATGAGAAAAACACAAGCTGAACTGACAGCAGAAGGTAAATGATCCTGCCTTACTTACTTAGTATAAATATTTAACTCTTAATCCCAGTAAACACAATATGTAAAGAGCTGCGTATATGAATATATATATATATCACACAAACCCCAGAGAAAAATGGAAAACAGCTAGTACTTTTTTTTTTTTTTTAGGGAAATATGTTACTCTGTGTGTTTGTGTATCCTATTTTATATTCATAGCATTTTAAGGCAGGTTTTTTGAGAGAGAATTAACAGATTAGATGTAAGTGAATGAAATTACTGGAGCAATTTATTTTTGATGTATCTTTCTGATTTCATTAATTCTGAATCTTAAAACTAAATAGATGTTGTAGGAGCTCTGGGAGTTCAGCTCTAAGATCTGTTGGTTAATATCAATAAAGAATCCTTAATTATTCATGAAATGTCACAAATCAGTAAGTAGAGATTAAAAGGAATAATATTTAACATAAAATAATCTCTTCTCTCTTCTGGTCAATTTCCTTAAAAAATAAGAGGGTAGTTTTATTATAGTAGAAATAAATAAATGCTGATTATCCCAAAATTTCTTCTATTTAATGCTACTTCCTTGTTTATTAGGTTGTTTTTTTTTCTCTGCAGCCCGTCTGTCGATCCCTCTGCTTGTTCCACGGTGCCTTCAGGTGCTGTAGGAAACGTTACCGTCTCAGTTTCATGGGAACGCAGAGGCTGAATTTTTATCATCATCCTCCATTTCATGATGAAGCAGTTTCTGCTGCTTGGCTCCTGCCTTACATCACCAAGGTTAATTCATGCAGCGGCCCGCGCGGCTCATCGATCTGCAGGATTGCCTTCTGTGTGAGCCGGTACTTTTGTGTTTGCGATTCAGGTGTTTGTTCTCAGGTGTACGTTTTAGTGTCACGCCCGCAGCAGGAATCAGAGGTTGGACGTTTCTGTGGAAATAACTACCAGGGGCTTTTCTTCTTCTTGTGTTTTCTAATAGTAGTCGACTTCTTGTCTCCTCCGACGATGGATCAGCTAAACAACAAGCAGCTTTCCAGCTCTTCAGCAGCACTCAACTCCCCAGAGAGAGGTGAGACCATCAGATCAAATATAGCCGAGGAGAGAGCAGAACAAACTGTTCCCTCAAAGATAATCCAACCAACACAATGACTTGAAGCATTTCAGTTTGGAACCAACTAGGACAGTTTTGATATATAAAGCTGCAATTAATTAATTAGGCATCTAATTTCTCCACGAAGTTTATAAATGGTTCCCAAGTTGAATAGAATTTGGATATAGATCCTCTCACAGTGTATCTAATTTTCAAATTTTCTAATTTTGGTGATTACATAACCTCTTTAATACAATGAGCATAAGTAGGAGGAGAGGGCTCCTTCCATTTGAACAGTATTCACCTCCTTGCTTGTAAGGTAGTGTAATCAACACATTTGCCTGAGTGGGGTGTAGATGGTCACCAGCTGGAACGACGCCAAACCTTGCAGTCAGGGGAATAGGTTCTACTGGGTATTGGAGGATAGTGGCTAGAGCATCAAATATAGAGTTCCAGAAACGGGTGAGTTTTGGGCAGGCCCAGAACCTATGATAGAGGGTGGCAGCTTCCTGTTTACAGCTATCACAGGCTGAGTAATGAAGATGATGAACCACTTTTTAATTGAATAACACTGTCTCAGGCATATTGAAGAGGTTTGAATTCTTTTTACCGCTAGCTCCCAAGTTTCTTCTGACAGAGACATCTGTATATCATTCTCCCACCGAGTTTTGAGAGGTTCAAGAGGTCTTGGGCAAAGGGTATTAATTCTATTATTTAAGTAATGTAGCCCTTTCTTGCAGGGTTAAAAACAAGGATGTTATCTATTACATTTTTGGACAGATTGAATTTAGAGTGAGTGAAATTTGGAACCTGTAAATACCTAAAAAGATTCGCTTTTGGTGGGTTTGATTTCTCAGATAGCTGATTAAACGAAGCAAAGGCCTTTCTTTTCTTTTCATACACTCCACTATTTAATACAACTTTTCTTTTCATGCACTTCATAGACACTTTTTCTCTTATGAACCTCGGCCATTTTCAAAGAACTGCAATGAGAAAGGTGAGCTTCAGTGACTGAAACCATAGCTCACCACCAATATACGCCTGAAAGTGCACATGCAAGGAAAAAGATACTTAAACATATCACCCAAATGATTGACAGTTAGAAGCACCACTTATTAAATTGATCCGCCCGGAAATAAAAGATCGTCCTCTATACCTTAAACACCTCAAGTAGGATGGAAAAAAAGAAAACATGAACGTTGGCTGGGATTTTAGTCTTCCAGCTTTTTTATTATATATTTATTCAGTTTTAGAACAATTTAAAAAGAAAATGACACAAATGTTTATCTTACACAATATTTATTTATTCAATTTGGATTATTTATTGATTTATTTTGCTTTTAAACAAAAATAAGAAGAAAGAAATGGTTAGAATTGAATTTTGCTTAAATCATAGGTAATGTGCAGATGTGTTTCTATATTCAGCTCTATCTGGAACCAGACATGTATCATCAGGCAAAGGACCATAAGGTGGTGCTGGCTGGGATTCTGTTTTTCTTAAAAATCATCTCTTTTTATTGTACTCGCTGTTATTTATTTTCTCTCTCTGTTTGTATCTGTGTTGGTCTGTGACCTGTTAGTGTCTTCTCTGTCCCGTCGAACAGCTTCCCCCAACAACAGATCCTTCAGGAGTCCCTCCAACCGCAGAAGCATTGCTGGATTCCCTGAGGAGACCTCCAAAGCAAAAACACCCACGGTCAGCTCACTCTGCACACAAATGCATTCCAGTTTCTTTGTTTTTCTTCGAATGGGTTCATCATCTGACACATAAAACTGTTACAATAAGCTTTAAACCACATCCTCCACTATTTAATACAACTTTTCATATCATATAATTTTTAAGGGCAAATTAACTGCTATGAAATAGATAAAAACTTTTAGGCAAAGGAACTAGAATTAGGTTTGGGAATGAAAGAAGCAGACAAACTAGAACACAATAATGAACATAATGAAAGAGCATCAATAGAAAACATTGAAGAGCATCCAAATTAAGGAAACAGACATGAAGAAGCACCAAAAAGAGAGAAGGATCATAGTGTTTCAGATTATTCACCATCAGCAGCAATGCTCTGAGTGGCTTATTATAACTAAAATGGTTTATAAACTAGCTTTTAGCTTCCTGTGTAATAATATCTGAACAAAGGGACATTTTATCTGGAGACTATAGTGTTGCCTTGATGTTATAAAGAAGATCCTTTCTACTTGTAAAGGGAAAATTACCACCGCATTGTGTTCAAGTGCTTTTGTTGTGGTGGAGAAGAGAAACATTGTTGGATCACAGATTATCCTGACCTGCTATTTGGGCAAGACAGTAACAGACTTCCTAAATCATCTGCTACAGAAACAAGAGTATGCTTCAAATGATAACTGCTGCCAAGAATTTGATAAACTCAAACAGCAATGGCCATTTTAAAAACTAACCAAGTTTAAATGGTGATATATTTACATTTATATATTCTAAATCATGTCACAGACTCTGCATCACACTGACAGCACCAAACCAAAACACTGCGTATTTGTACCATATTTATTTAATGCTCAGATCTTTCATATCAATGCGTTTTTTTGTACCATGTTTTTTTTTCTCCCACATGGTTTACATTTGGTCATTCCTGCATTTTAAGAAAAGTAAATGTCATGAAAGCTGTAAAAAACAAAATTTCTTAAAGTTGTCTAATTCTCTAATTCATATATGTTGCAGCTTCGTTTAAAGGAATAGTACACCCAAAACATGATTAGCCTTCATTTTCTACTCACCCCCATGCTGAACAACACTCTGGAGTACGTTTTTGATATCTCAAATGCATCTGGAGATCTGGGAGGCTTCTTGCTGTCTGCTGACATTCAAATAATGGAGGTCTATGGTGCCCGAGACAGAAAGGTCCATAAAAGTCCACAGAAACCGTGTCAATATTCCTCCATACTGCTCGTCCAATGTATTCCAAGTGTCCTGAATGGGTAGCATCCAGAATTTACTCGAAACGAAGTCATTTAGAATGTTTTTAGAGCATAAACAGTAGTGTATAGGATTTCCTAAAAGCGCGTTCACGACGCTACGGAAACCGCGGCAGACCAAACCAGATGAAAGTGCGCATTCAGCGTCTGCTCTGCCGATAATGCAAGCGTAGAAGAAGAAATGTGCTGTTTACCTGTGCAAAGAAAGAAACAACGAAAGAAAAATGTCTGAGGACTTCAGTGTTGAGGAAGAGCATGAGTTCTTTGCCGAGCTGAATGCGCACTTTCATCTGGTTTGGTCTGCCGCGGTTTCCGTAGCGTCGTGAACGCGCTTTCAGGAATTCCTATACACTACTGTTTATGCTCTAAAAACATTTTAAATGACTTTGTTTCGAGTAAATTCTGGACGCTACCCACTCAGGACACTTGGAATACATTGGACGAGCAGTATGGAGGAATATTGACACGTTTTTTGTGGACTTTTATGGACCTTTCTGCCTCGGGCGCCATAGACCTCCATTGTTTGAATGTCAGCAGACAGCAAGAAGCCTCCCAGATCTCCAGATGCATTTGAGATATCAAAAAAGTACTCCAGAGTGTTGTTCAGCATGGGGGTGAGTAGAAAATGAAGCCTAATCATGTTTTGGTTGTACTATTCCTTTAAGCTTCAAACACAACAGAACAGAACGCTTAAAATGCAGTATTCACATCACAGAATCATTTCTCTGCTTTCCGCCACGTTGAAAGGTCAAAGTTCACCTCATCTTGGCAACTCGAGTATCATAAAATTATTCCAGTTTTTAAGTAAAGATTGAAAAAATGAGCTGGGTAGCATTGTTCTGTTTTAGTCAGGATTATTAAGGCAAGGCAAGTTTATCTGTAAAGCACAATTTAGTACACGGACAATTCAAAGTGCTATGCATGAATTAGATAATAAAATAGAAGAAAAGTAAAAGCAGAATTAAAGTAAATAAAGATATTATTGTTATAATAATAAAGATTTAAAAAAAAACTTGTGAAACAAATAAAACAATTGGACAACCACCTTTAACTAATAATACCTCAGTTAATAGTTTAACTTTAACAGTCAAAGGCAGCTCTAAACAAACGGGTTTTTAACTTTGACTTCAACGATCTCGGTCTTTCAGCTTTTGTCCAGTCTTTTGAGAGTTTATTCCAGATCAGTGGAGCATAGGAACTAAATGCTGCTTCTCCATGTTTGGTTCTAGTTCTGGGTGCACAGAGTAGGCTGGAACTAGAAGACCTGAGTGGTCTGGGAGGTTGATAAACTGATAATAGATCTGTTATTATTGAGGTGCTGATCTATTCAATGATTTCTAGACTAACAGAAGCATTATAAAGTCTATTCTCTGAGCTACAGGAAGCCAGTGGAAGGACTTCAGAACCAGGCTGATGTGCTCTACTTTCATAGTTCTAGTGAGAACACGGGCAGCAGAGTTTTCAGTTCAGTTCAGTAGCTTTTATTTGTCCCAGTATGGGCAATTTTGTGCAGTAGTAGTACACCTTTCACACACATGTTCACATTTCACAAATCACAGATAAAAATAAAAGAAGCACAAGAGACACATAAATATTTAAAAAGATAAAAGTAAGGTGGATAAAAGAGACAGAAATGTAAAAAATAATAAAAAGTAAATAAATATGTGCAAATGAGAGCATAGACCTGAATGCATGCAACATATGGCTATCTGCTTTGCATGGTAGAGTTTTGTAGCTGAAGAGCAGAGGGAATAAAGGAGTGTTTGTATCTGTTGGTCCGAACTGATGGGTATTTTAAACGGGAACCAGAGGGTAGAAACTGAAATTCGTTAGGTAGGGGATGGGTATAATTATCCAAAATGGACTCAGCCTTCCTGATTACCTGATCTTCATACATTTTGGATCAGCTGCAGCTTTCTGATTGACTTTTTAGGCAAACCTATGAAGACATTGTTGCTTTAATCAATTCTGCTAAAGATAAATGTATGGGTGAGTTTTTCAACATCAACATCATCGTTTAACCCTGGAAATGTTCTTCAGGTGATAAAAGGCTGACTTAGTAACTGCCTCTATGTGCCTCTGAAGGTTCAGGTCTGAGTCCATCATTAAACCAAGATTTCAGCCATAATCCTTGGTTCCTAGCTGTAGTAGTTGAAGCTGTGAGCTAACTCTCCTCCTCTGAGCTGAAGATTATTACCTCAGTTTTGTTTTTATTCTTTTATAATCTAGCCAACCCTGTGATGGGTTCATATCAGCTGGTGACATTGTGATATGAAGCTGTGTGTCTACTGCATAGTTCTGGTAACTGAGCTGGTTGTTTGCTATAATCTGAGCTAAAAGGATCATGTAGATGTTTTAAATCATGCATTCATGCATTTGTAATAATTAAGGATGAAACTGAGTGAATGAGTCAGATGAAACTGAGTGAATGTGTCAGAACAGCATCGATGTTTTGGTTTTTCAATGTTCAGCCTTTATTAAAACATACATTTGTAGAGGACTCCTTGTTATATATTGTTATGTTACAGTGACAAATCTGCAGTTGTTTTACTCACATTTTAAATAACTTGATGTTTGTTCTGTGGATGTTTGATATCATTAAATATTAACAGTTAATTGTAGTATATGTGGCTCACAGGGGGAGACACCCAACACCCCGGTCCGAAGTTCTTCCTTCAAGGCCAACAGCAAGGGCCACGCTGCTTCTAAGCGGTACGTAGATGCACAGCAACGCCTCTGGTGTGCTTATGGTCCAGTTGACAGTGCGGTTTCTTTACAGGGTGAGGTCCACCAGGAGTCGCGCCCAGTCACCCTGCTCTCCCGGACAATACCCCCCCTCTCCGCTCCGGCAGAGAGCCACCACCCCCGGCAGCGGCGACGACAGGGGCAACAATGACAGCAAAGGTCACAGCACCCTGGAAAGAAAATCTGCCAAATCTGAAGCCTCAGACAACAAGAGGATCACAAAATCCAGCAGCAGAGAGCTGAACGCAGGTAGAGAGAATTAAAAAACTCCCTCACCTTCTCTAAACAAGAGACACATCAACAAACGTAGGCTAAAACAAACACTGCCACAGAACCCAGCAGATATTGAATCACCCTATTTACCAACCAAAGAAAACAGAAAGCTGTCCAACTAAAAAAATGTTATAGTAACTAAGTAGTGAAAATGTGTTTGCCCAAAGTTTCTCTAATCATGTACACATTTATACAGAAACATTTCACAAAACATGCATAATAATGCTAATGAGGCTCCTGATACACCAGATTAATTTATTAACTGTTACCTTCTACACATCTTTAGCAGCGCTGCAATAACTGGTGTTTAATAAATGTTTTTTATCTGATCTAATTATTCTATCTTATTATATTTTATGACAAAAACAGAAATTCTTTAAAGCATCATTAGTCCAGCCTACCAAAAAAACAGCCTAAACATCCCAGGATTCCCAGGAAAACATGAAAACTAATGAAGAAATAAAAAAAAGGAAATTCTTGTTCTCCTTGGTTTTATGTATAGAATCATTCAGCAAACCTGCACCTCCCAGCAGTTTTCCTCATTTAGCAGAATATTTTTCCCAAGTGTTAATTTCTGTTTCACCATCTTCTTACTCAGCCATCTTTGCCTCTCTTCCAAACACCCTCTCAGAGTCACCAAGCACTCCCACAGGCCGGAGCGTTGGAGGGACCACGGATGCTGAGGAGGCGTCCCGGCTGCTGGCAGAGAGGCGCCGTCTGGCCCGAATACAGAAGGAGCAGGAGGAGAGGCAGCGGCAGGAGGAGGAGAGGTGAGACAACAGTAATGTCATAAAACCGTGAATTATCTCAAAGCTGTGATGGCTTTCACTGTGTGAGATGACAGCTCTCTAATTTTCTAAATTAGATTCAATAATACAGCTTCGAAGTAGAAACTAGAGATGCTTGTTTTTAAGTTGGATGATAATTAGCCTAATTGATTTCTTCCGGGTTGATTATCGAAACCTAGATTGATTTTTCTTTCTCCATTCACATGATTAAAAACGCCACAATGATGACAAATGTTACAGAGGTCCCAGTTATTATTGAGTCAAACAAAACATTAAAAATTGATAGCAAATGGAGGGACAATGGGTGCACTACACATGATCGCAAAGTATGGCTAAAATAACAACCTGCTTTTTATTTGTATGGAAATAGTGATAAACTGCCTGTTTAAATCGGTGAATGCATGCACCTATTCGTCAATGCCAGTTAAAAGAAAATACATTCTAATATCAGCCGAAAATATCAGCTGGTCAATATATTGCTCTGTCATTAGTAGAAGCTATAGAGCTTTTATAACTAAGCGACTAGTTTTTATTTTAAACAATTTTTTTATTTTACTGGGGCTCTTAGTTAACCTGGAGAAAACATTAATGATGCTGGATTAAAGAACAAAAAAAGGGAAATTGTTCAAATGTAGAAATGTCCCAATCTAAAAGATTTTCGTCTGATATCAGCCAAAAAAACTAATATCGGAATATATCGTTCTGCATCTAAAATCTATGATATAAGCAAACAATTCAACTGAATTCAGTTTATTTCTATAGCACCAAGTCACAACACATGGCATCTCAAGGCACTTTGCAGACACAAATTAATCAGATCAGTCTGGTTAAAAGTTTCTATTGTAGGATTGAATAAAGTTAATTTGCATTTTGTTGTTGCTAGGAGTCCCTTACACATAAAACAGAGAAAGTAGAGAGAAAGAAACTCCCATTTAACAGGAAGAAACCTACAACAGAACCAGTGTGAGTGACCTTCTGCTGAGGCCAACTGGAGTTCAAGGAGAGAAAAACAGACATACAAAAACATAGAAGCACAAATTCATAAACACTTTCCATGTTAGAAAAGTTAACTGTAAAATAGCTCCACGGGTGGCTCTGTCTCTTTCATGTCAAAGGGAGGAAAGAGAACAGATACAGTTAGTTCTTAGTCACAATAAAAGCTGGACCGGTTGTTATTTCTAGGAAAGAAACAGGAGTGAGCACTGAAAAACACACCCAACTCAGCCAAAAGGGAACAGACTAAATGAAGCTACTATGATGAGAAAAAGCACAGTGAGCATAACGTTAGAGGTTGAAATAACAAATTCTGCAGAGTGCGAGAATGATGAAAGTAGTCCCTATGTCCTCCAGCCGTCTAAGCCTATAGCAGCATAACTATAGAGATAGCTCAGGATAACCTGAGCATCTCTAACTATAAGCTTTTCTCTTTCATAAATCATTTATTTATTTGTAGTCAAATAATATATGTTTCCTTATATTTTCAAAATGTTTTCATCTATTTCTTTATTTTAAGGAAGTTCAGAATTTTCTTGACATCGATGTCTGACTCAAACATTTCAGTGGGATTCACGAGAGCAGAACTGGTATAATCATGAAAGTTTTTATGTTGTTCATTCACAGTTAAAATAACTGCAAAATTATGAGATCTCTGTCTCTAAACAAAGAGTTAGCCAGTATTTGGCTAAAATACTGTTTCTATTCATTATTATAACTCCAAAAAAAAACTTACCCATGTACTATTATAGAGGGAGTGAATGAGTGGTGGCAGGGCATTCAATGTTAAATACTTTTTTTTATTATTACAAAATAAGAGGAAAATTCTGGAAATAGGAAAATTAGTTAAAAGATGGCTGTGCATTTTTAAGTGAGGGAGGAATAAATATGACTCAAATTTCATCCTTTATAATGTATAAATACTTTCACATCATACTGTCCACTGATTTACATGATACCACTGAGCACAACACAGGGACGTCAACACGCAGCGCCAGTCGCGTCTGATCTAAAGCCGAAGCAACTCTACATTCGATAAACATGGAGCAGCACTGGTGAAAGCGATTAGAACAAACAAAAGAACACTTACTACTGGTGACATGATAAGCACTAACCTAGCGTGATGATGTGTAATGGACAGAGGCCATGACGCTTTCCAGCAGGGGGTTAGACCCAGTTTTTTTTGCCGTTGGGAAGGGAGCCAAATTCCAATTGTAAGCGGGTCGAACCCCATTTGAAAACCCTCGTTAGTGCATTATTTTCAGTGGGAAAGAGAATTTAGAGTGCTCTAGATTGCCACTTTTAAATTAAATGGTAGAACAGTTTCTTGTCCCTGACATCCCTCGATGGGTTTAATTCTTTATTTATGTCTAAAGAGTCACTGAATTGTTTTGACTGTGAAGCATAGCATTTGGAGTTTAGTGATGGAGGCTAAATGGTGGTAAATGGAGGCTAAAGATATTGGGTGACTACAGTTTTAAAGATAACAGGAGTATCTTTAAACAAAAGTCAAACATACCATAAACTCCATGTGACACAAGGATTCCCTGTGTGTGTTTAACCCAGAATGATCCTAATGTAGGAAAACTTAAATGGATATTTGGTCAGGATTGTGCATTTTTATTGTGCTTCTACCATAAAGCTAGCTTCTTTTCTCCAGACTGAAGGCTGAGGAGGAGCAGAAAAGGCAGCAGGAGGAGAGGGAACGTCAGGAGAGAGAAGCGCTCCAGGCAGAGGAGGAGAGAGTGGGGAAGGAGGAGGAGAGAAGGACCAGAGAAGAAGAGGAGAGACGACAGAAGGAGCAGAGATGGAAGAACATGCAGGACCAGCTGGACAGAGAGGTCAGCCCCATTTGATCTGCATCCCTGATATGCCTGTCCAGCAGGACTGAGGAACCGTCAGGATTCCAAGCTCCAAGACCTAACCACTAACCGCCCCCGGTTAGGGCGTAGAGCTTGGAATCCTGAGGTTGTGAGTTTGAAACCCACTCCCACAGAGTGCCACTTTGGGTCTCTGAGCAAGACCCTTGACCCCTAATTGCCCCCCTGGTGCCCCACAATGGCACCCCACTGCTCCCCAAGGGGATGGGTTAAATGTAGAGCTAAATTTCTCCAATGTGAGTTTAATAAATTTCAATTATTATTATTATTATTATTGACCCCATATTTAAAGTGTAACTCACCCCATAATAATTGTTTTTATTTAAAATGTATAATCTGGGTCTATGGGATGTTTTTTTTATGTTACTTGGCATTTTTTTGACACAAAGTGTTCAGACTTTAAGCTTTACCTCAGAGCTACTGTGCGCTACCTGCCGCCATGAACCATTAACACATTAACTTAATTGCAAAATAAAAAACCTGCTTTTTATTTAGACGGAACTAGTGATAATCTGGCTGTACATCTATGTTTTATCCTCCTTTATTTAATCAATAGTTGATCTATTTAGATCAGGGGTCTTCAACGTTTTCCAGGCCAAGGACCCCAAACTGATGGCGAGATGGAGCGGAGACCCCCTAATTATATATATTGTATGAAATTGTGTTATATTAGACTGGTCCTATAGTCACTCTATTATATAAGGAGTAATGTAACTAAAGTAATTTCTCCCTGGGATTATCAAAGTATTTCTGATTCTGATTCCTGGTTGACGGGACAGGTGTTGTGAATGAAACGGTGCCCAGCTTGAAAGAGCTCCTGTTAGTCACTGAATGCGTGCATTGATGACTGAAAGACATCTTCTGCCTCCATTTATCTGTTTACTACAGTGTGTTCAATTCATGTTAATGTGGATTTAAAGACATTTTAATTAGTGGGAAAAAAATTGAAGGGGGGAATATTAAAAAAAGTCTAATTAACCAAAAGTTTCACGACCCCCATGCAGTACCCCCGTGGACGCCCTAGGGGTCGCGGACCCCCTGTTGAAGACCTCTGATTTAGACTAAATGTCTGCATGGTCAAAGTCAGATTCACTGTTAATGTGCTCACATTCAATCTGATTCTAATAATTTGTTCTAAATTATTAAAGAATCAGACTCAGAATCAGACATACTTTAATAATCCCAGAGGGAAATTACAGCACTCTAAATACGGGAGGAACTTAGAACTAAATGGCTGGGTGTTTTTCAGAGGGAGGAGGCCTTCCTGCGAGCTCAAAGGGAGGCTGAGAGGAAGAGACAGGAGAGGGAGCTGCTGCACATCCAGGAGGAGCAGGAGAGGCAGCAGAGAAAGAAGGTACCAAACATCACCTCCAACCTCTGCACTGTTTCCACCTATCACCTCAGCCCAGATATTTACATACATACAAGAGGTTACTTAAGTCTTGATGATTTCTACAAACGGGTTTACCACAATAGATTAAAACCCTGAAATGATGGCTTTTAGTTTCAGTGTGCCACTCCAAGATTTTTAAGGGCCCCATCTGGCCACCCATATGAGGTATTTCTGTAGGCGCTGCTGGTCACAGATCAACTTCAGTCAGAAGAAACATGGCACCACTGTAGTCCCTAAGAAGAAACATTTTTGTTTTTTTTCTTTCTCTTGTTCTAATCCATTCTGTTCTGTTGGACCTGTTTTTCAGAGAATTGAGGAGATTATGAAGAGAACAAGGAAGAGCGAAGTGGAGCATCCATCTGCTGCCTCGGGTAAATGTTCAATCAGCTGTGGGTCAGTTCAACCTATCAGCAGTTTTCTACCCTCACACTAGGGTTGGGAATGGATAAGATTTTCACTATTCCAATTCCCTTATTGATTCTCTTATCAATTCTCATCACAGTCATTTAAATCTAAAGGAGGAGGCTTCAGTTTAATGAAAAAGCATTACTGAACAATTTTGGGAAATAAACTCATCTCCCCCTGATTTAAATAAACAAGCGTCACCTTTCTCTCGCTCCCTGAACTGCGGACCAACTTTGTACCATGTTTAATAACTCCAAAGAGAGGTAGGAAATTGGTTTATTTCCAGAAATAGCTTATGATTTACTAGGAACCACATTAAGCACAGCCAGTGATATAAAAATAGCTACTTACCACCAGAGTTGCCTTCCATGCTAGTCGTTACTTTAGCTTCTGTCCGGAAGCATCAGAAACACGGCCATGTTATGTGCGCAGGTGTTTCTGCATGTTGGATGTATTTCCTCCTACGGATTTTGTCATTTTACATCCAAACTTTCGATTGGTTTACCCAATGGGAGGCCATTTTTTTTGTTTTGCTTTTCTAGACTTACGCCTGGTCACCTTTCTCTCGCTCCCTGAACCGTGGAGCAACTCCGTTGCATGTTTCATTACATCCATTGCAATAGCTAGAATCATGTAAGAATTCCAGCTATCAGTAGTCCAAATTAAACATGCTAGCAATGAAGGGCTGGTGGTAGGAAATTGGTTTATTTCCACAAATGGCATATGATTTACTAGATCCTATGCCATTTCTACTTACGCCGTGTGCATAATTTGCTTAAAAAAGGTGACGTAAGTCTTGCAGCCCAGTGCTAGGCTCTGGTGCTGCCTGGAATCGATAAGAGAATCAATGCAATGGAATTGGAACACACGGAACCGGTTCTGAACAGGAACCGGTTTTCGATTCCCATCCCTACCTCACACAGCATTATAGTTCCTCCCAACACACCATTTCACCCACCTGTCGATTAAACTGATGCATGTTGCTTCATTTTTAGTGGTAGTTACATGTTTTAGGCCATTAAACCCTTTAAGAAGTGACAGATTTTCATCTGTGAGCAATATCAGCTACGGTAGTAGCCATTCAAAATTTCCCCACTTTCATTGATGGGTCCTTGGATGGTCCCCTACAATTCCTTTTTAAACATCAATCTTTGTTCTAAAATATTCTGTCTGTCATGATCTCTGGACATTTAGATCAAAAGAAAAGCGTAATTTCCTGGTCAGACCCTGTAATTCAGTGAAAGGGTGGAGTCAGAGTAAAATAATATGCACGAGGGGGTCACTCCAGTGGCTGGACGTTGGAGGCGATTTTTGTTATGAGTTGTAGGGAAGTGAGCAGCCATTCGGCTGGCGTAGAAAGCGCCATTTTGAATGGTTGCGATTGTATGAGTGGCCTCCTGCTGGTAGAAAATATTTACCATAGTAAATACAATACTGATATCTGATTATCACCTTAAATTATTTGATCAACGCACTTGGCAGTAAAACTGGTTAGAAATCCTCTTGGAGGAGAGAATGTGAGGTTTGTTTGGTACAAAGTAGCTGAAACCGTGAAAATAGGAGATGATGAAAAAGACTAAAATAAACCCCTTAGTTTTCCTCTCCCCTGATTTACCTCATGTTTCTTTTTTTTTTACTTTCTCTACTGTTTATCACAACCCTGAGTTTTGCTTCTCTTTCTTGTTTTAGTCGCATTGTGACTCGGCAGATGGTTATACATAGAGAAACAGCACCCCCTATTGGTAGATAGAAGTAACAACACTACTGTTAGATTTCATGCTTCGTTCTTCTGATATTATAATCGCTCCCTTCCTCCACTGTTACTTTTCATCTTCAATGCTTCTGTTTAATACCCAAGCTACAGAACAGGGCCCTCTGTTTCCTGCTGTCTGTTCTTTAAAGGTGATTATGAACACATGTATTTATTTAGGCTGTGGGTTTGTTGTGTTTTACAGCCTCTGGGGTTAAATGCGAGGCTGTTGGTGCCTCAGAGGAGGATGCTCCGACCCCGGCTGAAGCCCCCATCATCATGCTGGGGCCCCTGGAGAATAAGAGCTTCGTGGACGAGCTTTCTGATGGAGTCCAGTCCATGGACGTCAGGTAAAAATGCTCGGGGAGGATATTTCTCTCCATGTCAGGGAACAGCTATCACCTTTCAAGTGAATTTCTGGCGTGTTTTTTGGTTGTTGTTTTTTTATTGAATTGGACCAGTGGGGAAAGGGAAGGGGATTAACGTCGATAGAAAAGCAGATGGGTGTAAATCACTGTGTTCCTGGAAAGAACACAGTTAGAGGCTGCTCTAATTAAAGAGCCAGACATTATTTCTCTCTAACCAGTCCAGACTGACTCCATGTGACTGTTCAGATTTGTTGTCTTCACATTGAAAACGAGTATTTGTTCTGTTAGATTATCCTCAGAGAGAAAAATCATAAGTTTAAGGTTTCAATGTGACCAAACAGCTCTGTGGCCTGTGAAGAATCCATCAAGGCTCTGAGCACAGTAACAGAACCAGCAGATCCCACAGAGAACACAAGTTTTCCCAATGCTTAAGGATTACATTTATGTTTCATGTGTTTTTAAACAAACGGATTATGTCTCATAGAAATCTGAAGCAGTGGGTTTAATGAATCGAATGTTGTGTCTCTGTCCTCATTGTTCCTGTAAGTTCTCCATCTGTCTCCATCAGCCCGGTTTCCAGGGAGGAGCAGGCGAGTGCTCAGGAGTTTTCCCCAGTCGCTGAGGGACCTGACGGCTATCCCCCCGACCACCTGATGGACCTGGACGGTCCGGGACGGGGACAGCGTCAGGGCGCTGAGACGCCGGCCTACCCCAAGCTGCAGGCCGGCAGCGGGGTGGGAGACCTCAACAAGAACCTGCTGATCCAGGCGTACAGCGCCGCCTCAGAGTCCTCGCAGCTCATCCACAGCGTCGGCCCGAGCAAACTAGACATCTAAAAGGTATAGAAAGAAGCTCTTAGAGAGAAATACAGGAAAAAGCCCTGGAATAGGTTTAGTAATCCATGATTTGGTCTTTCGTGTCTCTTTCAGCCTGTTTTCAGGAGCTAAAACAGGAACACTATCACCTCCCTCTGCAACAACAGGCATCATTTCCACAAGACAAAGCTTAGCATCTGATTTTCATCCGTGTTACCAAACCACTCCCATGACCAGCAGAAGTCTGACTCAGAAAACACATTCTGACTCAGTTATGTCAATAATGTGAAGCCTATGTTTCTAGTAAGATAACTTTACAGGAACAAAGAAAAGAAGAAATTCTTCTGCTGTCTGTTAAATTGAACCTAGACCCAACGACGTATTTATGACATGAAACTTTAAAGTTCAGGTGTTCTACTTGTAAACGTTTAAATGGGTCCATCGCCTGCTGCAGAGGTCCTGATGAAGCCACACCTGCATTGCCGCAAACATCAGCTTCTAAAACCTTGTAAATAGACCAGACGGCAGGACGATAACGGGAAGAGGACGCCGCTCCGATGGACGCCGCTCTGTAAATCCTGTGTAGCATCTTTAAGCAGGACTAGATAGCTGTGTAGTTCAACAGTGTGTTTCTGACGGTTCCTGCGTGTTTATCCAGACGCTCCCTCATGAAGAGTTTCTCCCTGTCAGGTAAACAATCGTATAAACCCGCTGTAGCTGTAGCTTTGGTTTCGCTGCTGCTTTTCGTTCCAATCGATGGACATTCGTAGACCTGCAGTGATTCCACGGCGGGGGAGGAAACAAAAAAAGAGCGGGAGGAAATGCTAAATGTGTTGTATTTTTATCTGCAGGATGAAGATGTAATTGTCTGGCACTGACTGTAACCACACAAGCTGCAGTTTATAGCGTGCACCTACAGTAGTTATGTTTCACATCAGCACCTCCAACTCCTGGACCTCACAGCTCATCACCTCTGAGGCCTTAAAACCTCTGTGCATCAACCGCCACAATCACTGCTCAAAGATCTATTTTCATTAGGAGGAGCCACAAGAAACAAAAACACAACATTATTAAACACTTGAAACTCTCTGTGATGATAATGATTAAAAAAAGCTATTTTATTTAACTGTTCAGATAATTTACAAGCTGCTCAGACTTCCCCTTGAAGTTGAGGGCCTGCTTAAACCCCTGAGGGCTTAAGCAGGTCGTAATGTACATTTCTTTGTTGAGAGAACAAAGCCTTTACTTGCGCATTTATTAACACTTCTCTCACACATTGGCTCCTCTTTCTCAAGATTTGCACATCAATCTCTGGTTTCTGATTAACCCAGAGGGTTTCCAGGAACCCCCATGTATAAACATAAAGGAGTTAGCATTTATCCTAATAATTAAACTCTGACACTGCAGCTTGGTGGAATATATCATTGTAGATGTGGTGCATGGATACTTGCAGAAAAAGAACAATAAATTTCATCAAACCATGTCTCAGTGAGCCTTATTATATACAGAGTTATAGCAATATTACAAAACAGACATTTTTAGGTGAGTTAAAGAGAGATTTCAGTCCTCTGTTATAATCATGGCTGATTCTCAAGGATTTGTTCTTTTCTTTTACAGTCAGCAATATATAGGAAAAATTCACAAAAGCGAAGGAGAACTATATATCTGATAACTAAGATATAGTAAGTCTACTTTCCTTACTTACTTTCTCTCCAAGAAAAACGTCCTGTTTTGTTTTGCTTTTTGATTAAGTAAAATGGAATACTAAGATACAGGCTAATTATTTTACCTACTTCTATAAAGAACGTTCTATGAAAAATGCAGCTTCCAACTGATATTGCAAACGATATCCAATCTCATTCATTGCAGTCTTTGTTATCTCAAGCTTAAACGACTGCAATGAATGGATGCAATATTGTGCAGTCTATCATATATCCATGCATTAAAAGGTTGATAACTTTTTAGCCCATTAAAAGGAATTTTATTTTCTTTTATGCTCATAATTTATTTAGATCTTTGTGATGGAAAACAGGAGAAGAGGGAGGAAAATATGATGGTAGATAGATTTTATAAAGAACAATACATAACTTTTAAAAATATTGAATACTAGCAGTGCCAATAAAGAAAAATAAACAGGTCAATAGATGAGCGGTTAGAGCTGCGTATTTTGGGATTCATCTTATAGAGATATGTAGCTATAGAAAACAATAGGGGAGTGGTGGCCTTATGGCCAGGCACAGGCGTAACCTTCTGGTGGGCACATGTCCACACCAGTGGACATGTGCCCACCAGAGGTGTCAAGTAACGAAGTACAAATACTTCGTTACTGTGCTTAAGTACACTATTTAGGATTCTATGCTTTATTCCATTACTTATTTTTCTTCCTATTTCTAACTTCTACTCATTACATTTTCACACAAGTATCTGTACTTTCTATTCCTTACATATTTAAAACAATCGTTACTCTTGGCTTCGGTTTAATGTTTATAAATATTTATTTCAGGTCAGTGAAAACTAGTGTGATTGATGAGTCATATAACGCAAACACTCATTGGTTAGCTAAAGGAAATCATCAGAAGCAAGCAGGTGTTCTTCAAACTGCAAAGGTGAATTGTCTATGCCATGCTACAATGTAGGATTCCGAAAAAGATGTTGAAATGTCTGAAAGGTCGGACACAGGCGAGAGCGTATCGGGAGACGGAGACCAACAGATAGTCGAATGGTCAAATAATCGAAAAATTCCGCTTTCAATTCATATAGTGGCATCTGGCTATTTTTTTTAAAGGTTACTTTATACTTTAAGTAGTTGAAGTTGATACTTCAACCTTGACCAGAGTGTTTTTAAGTACCAAATGTGAGCACTTTTGACTGTATTATAGTTGTCTTGTGTTGGTGTTTGCGGGATTTGGAATATTTTTTAAAGGCCTTTCCAAATCTGCACCTTGAAGCTTTATATTTCTGGTTCTTTTTCCTAAAAAAAGAGATCACTCTGGACAAACTCTTTGAAAAACACTTTATAATGTATCTGTAGTAAATAACCAAGAGGTATGACAACAGATTCTGATAGAAATTATAATCTTACTCCGATCAAAAAAGTTGCTTAGACTTACAGAAGGCAGCTGCTTACCAACCGGCCTCACATCTCGTGAAGTTACCACGATTCACAGTTAGAGAAGCATTTTATACAAGTCCATTCTGCCACATCATCACATCATTACATCATCATATATGTTAGCAGATGAGGAGACATCCATGGCTCCAGCCTTATCACAATATTACACTTTGCAAGCCGCTATATCTGCCCCTGGAGAGGGAGAAACAGCTCCTAAATGGTTACAAGCTGTCTTGGAAAATGAAAATCAAAAAACGTACACCTTCAGATGATGCTGGCCCCTGTCATTTCAGCAAGAGATAATCTGACCTTTGCAGCTGAACTGGAGGTCATCAATTAAAGATCTCGAAGAACTGTGTAGTATTCAATCTGAGGTACATACAGGTGCTGGTCATAAAATTAGAATATCATGAAAAAGTAGATTGATTTCAGTAATTCCATTTAAAAAGTGAAACTTGTATATTATATTCATACATTACATACAAACTCATATATTTCAGATGTTTATTTTGTTTAATTTTGATGATTACAAATGACAACAAATGAAAATCTCAAATTCATCATATCAGAAAATTAGAATATTGTGAAAAGGTTCAAAATTGATGGCCCCTGGTGCCACACTCTAATCAGCTAATTAACTCAAACCACCTGCAAAAGCCTTTAAATGGTCTTTCAGTCTAGTTCTATAGGCTACACAATCATGGGGAAGACTGCTGACTTGACAGTTGTCCAAAAGACGACCATCGACACCTTGCACAAGGAGGGCAAGACACAAAAGGTCATCGCTAAAGAGGCTGGCTGTTCACAGAGCTCAGTGTCCAAGCACATTAATAGAGAGGCGAAGGGAAGGAAAAGATGTGGTCGAAAAAAGTGTACAAGCAAGAGAGATAACCGCACCCTGGAGAGGATTGTGAAACAAAACCCATTCAAAAATGTGGGGGAGATTCACAAAGAGTGGACTGCAGCTGGAGTGAGTGCTTCAAGAACCACCACACACAGACGTATGAAAGACATGGGTTTCTGCTGTCGCATTCCTTGTGTCAAGCCACTCTTGAACCACAGACAGCGTCAGAAGCGTCTTGCCTGGGCTAAAGAGAAACAGGACTGGACTGCTGGTGAGTGGTCCAAAGTCATGTTCTCTGATGAAAGTAAATTTTGCATTTCCTTTGGAAATCAAGGTCCCAGAGTCTGGAGGAAAAGAAGAGAGGCACTTCATCCACGTTGCTTGAAGTCCAGTGTAAAGTTTCCACAGTCAGTGATGGTTTGGGGTGCCATGTCATCTGCTGGTGTTGGTCCATTGTGTTTTCTGAGGTCCAGGGTCAACGCAGCCACATACCAGGAAGTTTTAGAGCACTTCATGCTTCCTGCAGCTGACCAACTTTTTGGAGATGCAGATTTCATTTTCCAACAGGACTTGGCACCTGCACACAGTGCCAAAGCTACCAGTACCTGGTTGAAGGACCATGGTATCCCTGTTCTTAATTGGCCAGCAAACTCTCCTGACCTTAACCCCATAGAAAATCTATGGGGTATTGTGAAGAAGAAGATGCAATACACCAGACCCAACAATTCAGAAGAGCTAAAAGCCACTATTAGAGCAACCTGGGCTATCATAACACCTGAGCAGTGCCACAGACTGATCGACTCCATGCCACGCCGCATTGCTGCAGTAATACAGGCCAAAGGAGGCCCAACTAAATACTGAGTGCTGTACATGCTCATACTTTTCATGTTCATACTTTTCAGTTGGCCAACATTTCTATAAATCCTTTGTTTTTATTGGTCTTCAGTAATATTCTAATTTTCTGATATGATGAATTTGAGATTTTCATTTGTTGTCATTTGTAATCATCAAAATTAAACAAAATAAACATCTGAAATATATGAGTTTGTATGTAATGTATGAATATAATATACAAGTTTCACTTTTTAAATGGAATTACTGAAATCAATCTACTTTTTCATGATATTCTAATTTTATGACCAGCACCTGTATATCACTCAGGTGTATGTCAGGCCATAGACATTAGGAATCCAAACAAACTATCCTTGAAGATACAACAACCTTAGAGATTTCACATTCAAGGATGAAAAAGTTTAACCCCTTGATAATTTATTTGAATTATTAGGAAACATAAATTGCTTCAAATGTTTCTCAGAATTTCTAAATCAGTAAATAGATGTATTTCATAAGAATTTTATCCATTACAGATATTTTCAAGGTACATAGTATTAGGTAGTAGTAGGTATTAAGTAGAGGTGTAAATACTATTTAGATAAGTATGTTTGTCCAATAATCTATGAAGATCTAATGTATTATTAAAACTTGTGAAAAAACAAATTACCTTTTCTTAAAAAAAAACAATTACAACTGGAAAGATATTCATAGACTAGGTGAAAGCATAATAATAGAGTCATTTAGATGATTACATATATAAAGTATGCTATAAAGTTAATGATGTACAAAGAAGGACTCTGACTTGAAACCAGTGCCAACCGAGCTGGCCAATAAATGATTCTGAACCTTCTGTTTCAGTTTTTAGGAGCAACGTTTTTTGTTCTTTTTTCGCAACAAATTAGATAAGAAAAACATGTAACAAACATTGCAGTCAAAGAATAATTAAAAATATAGCTTATTAAAAAATAAGAACATTAGAGCCATCAAATTACACCAAATACAAATGTAAGTAACTATTCTGCATTTCTCTACATACTTCAGTCTGCTGAAATACTACATGTATGTAAAATAATTGCCATCATGGCTTTGTAAAACTGCTGCCTCCCTTTGTGAAGCAGGAAAAAGACTAATACAAAGTGAATCCAGTAGAACTTTTTATTGCCTTCCTGGAATGGGTGACAGTAAATTGATAATACATTTTTGGCTCTCAAAATGGTAATGGTGCCCTATTTGTTTGTACCCGCCGATACTGATACCACCATTTTAGTGCTGGATCGGGGCCCCGCCTGATACTGGTATATCTGCAACATTAATGTTTACCCAATAAAATGGCCAGGTTTAATCCTTATTAACATTGCTATAAGTTGCCAAGCTAACCTGTTGTTCAAAAAATAACAATGGTCATCCACAGTTTGCATCTTTTTAGTAGCCAGAAATAAATGTTGAATAATTATAATTGCATACTTTTAAAGTTATGAGTAATAGGTAATTTAAGTGAGCTGCATGCCTGTTTTTATGGTAAAGTAACACTTGCACTCCCAATTCTATTTTTTTATTCTACGTATATTCATTCAGCAATTCAATTGATGGTTGAAATCATTTATTAGAAGCCCAACGATAAAATGTTTACAAGAGTTCCTTTTTAAAATTGTAAAAGAGCTCAAATAAAATTACTTTTCAGAATATTTAAATTATTTTCTTTCACCAGAAAATAAAACATTGTTACTTTTATTTTGAAACAACCTCTGGCGGAAATGGCAGCTCTCTGCTGCGTTAAATAGTACTATTAAAATAATGAATAAGCATAATACAGGGTGTTGTATTTGTGGGAAATTAGAAACTGTCCAACATATTTTTTTAGAATGTAATAAATATACTCAGGAAAGAGAGATGTTGCGTAGAAAGTTAGACAGGAATAAAAATAAACTAGATATAAGGGAATTGTTTCAAAGATCATCTGGGGATGTAGTTTTTGGGAGTATTTTTAATTTTCTAAGAAGAACGGGTATTTTAGGAAGAATATAATAGTTTGTCTGATCCATACTCCATTCTGGAAGGTGGCGGTAATGCACCTATAAGTTGTTTGCCAACCGCCATTAAAAAAAAAAAAGAAGAAGAAGAAGCTCTCTGCTGCGATCAGACGGTGGACCTGTACATGTAGCCATATTCTTGTTATGATAAACGGAATATTTAACACATTTAAGGATTGTGTTAATACATATTAAACGAAGGGATATATTCTTAGTTTATAGGCTGCTATAACCGTGTTTTGTCCTTTGTTGTGTACGCAGTGTTAGCCGTCGTAGCTTGACGTGGGCCCTGCTCCAAGGTAAGGCCATGGTTTAGCTGCTACCAAGCTAAATGTTTAAAGCTAACAAGGCCGCTCTGGTGTAGTTTTAAATGATTTTCTGGTAAAATGTCAAACTACTAGGTGATTGCATGATGTATTTCACTGTTGCATAATCTCACATCAGCTATAACCAATATTTGATTCGTTAACATTGCAAAAGATAAAACGAAACTGTTTACCCTTTTCCCTCGAGGAAAGGATCGTGTGCTCGTAATTACAGTTAGTACATTTATGTCTGTTGTTTAGTAACCTACCGATGAAACGAAATAACAAATTGTTTTACAAAAATTTAGTTTAAACCTTTTTAAACCACCTAAGTTGATATTCTTAGTTTGTTTTATTCTTCCTTTGTATTTTTTTTACCTTAATTATTTCTTCGCCGCTGTTTATTTCTCTCTGCCCTTTTGGCATTTCTCTCTACAAAAGGGAGAACATACAAAGGAAGAATAAAACAGACAAAAATATTATAACATGCACATAAATAAATACTTAAAAATATAAGTAATTAAAAAATAAAGTTGAAGATTATAAAGGACAAAAAAATAAATAAGGTAAATATTACAAAGGCAAATAAATAAAGAAGCTAATTAAGAGTTATATACATTTATGTCTCACTTTATAATTTAATTTATACTGACATTTATTTGTTTATTGTATTTATGTTGGCAATTAATTGTATGCTTATATATTTATTGAGCATTTATTTATTTCTGTAATTATTTTGAAATATGCCAGAGTTGGTCCTCCATAAGTGTACACATCGCTGGTTATGGTGAAAAACATATTTTCAATCATATATTTGAAGTGTTTTATGTTCCTCAAGTTACGCTCAAACATTTATATTGAAGTGACTCCTAAATCATAAACATTTATGTTAAATTAAATTTTTAAAATCTTTGGGATTTTTTCCCATGTTATTTTATGCAGGCCAGTTAGTTATACGTCAGCTTGTACACCTAAATTCAGCCAATCATATATCAATGATCATCTGTCAATCAAATTTTTTAGGTCATAGCATCTTGATTCACATGTCACAGCTAATATCCCAGTGTTCAGGGGGATGGACGTCTGTGTCTTCTGCAGGCGTAGAGCTAACAGAACTGGTAGCGTTGTGAGGCAAGGGCTCAAACATGTACGGCTGGAAGCCTTCTACTCCAAACCAAGCTTCTGCCGCCCTGGCGTCCTCTTCACCAACATCTTAATCCCCGCTTTCCTCCTCTAAATAAAAAATGTATGAAGGAAGAGACTCATCCACGACCTCCGACACTAAACTCTCCTCCTCTTGCATGTTTCCTCTGTCCATAGCGTTCCTTGACAGTGTCTTTCTAAGTCACCAATTTAGTGCTACTTGGTCCCAATGGAATTTCCCGTTGGGAACCTACTGGCTTTAAGTTACCAACTAGTTAGCAAGATGCTGCTGACAAACCAGCCATAATCAAACTTTCTTGCAAACCTTCGACCACAACTATCCCGCCCTCTTGATAAACGACCAATCACATTCACTTTATTCACTCGTGTAAAGTCGAGAATCACGCGACTTTACACAGAATTCCCTACGACTTGAATTAGAAATGGAGACAAATTCGATTTTCCTTAAAAATGGAAAACATTCTGCCTGCATAATTTTATACAGGGTTCCCGCGGCTCCTTAAGTCTTAAAAGGCATTGAATTCTTCAAAATAAAACTAAGGCCTTAATTGGTATTAAAATGTCTTAAATCAGTCTTTCTTAGGTCTTAATTTTTAAAACATCATAAATAGGACTATTTTTAATTTGATTTATTTTTGTAATCTAAATAAAACATTAAAACTGACCTTTTTTTTTTTCATTTAAAAAAATAACGGCTCGCCATTATTGGTTCCGTCCCGATAGCGGAACCAATAAATGCGTTGTTGCGGCCGGGACATTTGGGAGATGCACCATTAACTTTTTGTCTAGAAAATATGAGCAAGTGTAAATGAAACGAAAATGGCTATCCAGCCAAGAGTTTTCTCCATGGCTAAAACCAGGGAACATACATGAGGCTCAGTGGATTTTGTGCAAGAAGTCATTCAAGCTCAGAACGATGGGAATTAAGGCAGTGGAGTCACACATGCGAAGGGTGAAACACAAAGCGTCAAAATGGAGTTACGGAGAAACAGCCGGTATTTCTCAGTTTAGTTCCACCCTTGTCTCTGCAACGCCTCCACTTATCACCAAATCAAACATACTAAGAAAACCATACAAAGAAAAATAGCTGCAAAAAAGACTTAGCACTGGTTATGTTGTCGCTTTAAAACTGATTTGTTTTGCTCCCTGCTAAGACAAAGTTTGTAAATTCAGTTAAATAATTGTTAAAATATATCTTTCATTTGTGTGTTTTTAGCTTTCTTCCTGTATGGGAAGCTTTTCAAAATTTGAAACATTAGTGCAGTGGTTTATGTTATAATAAACCTTTGGGTTAAGTTGTTGCAAGCAGGTTTTTCTTGTGTTTCTTGTGAATTTGGTCTTATATTTTAATTTCAAGTGGCATTAAAAAGTCTTAAAAAGTCTTGAATTTAACTCTCCTTATGCTGTAGGAACCCTGCTATAAGGTAAAGATAAATAATATAAGAAAAAAAGCGTCCAATTCCTTACAGGTAAAAGACCGGGCGTTAGTCAACTTAAGGATTTCCACTGGAGGTCGATCGATGCTTTTTTTTTTTTTTTATGCAGAAACCAATTATTTTATGGATCTAATTCCTATGATTTTGGGGAGCTGATTTTTGAGAAAATTGCTGGTTTGTTGGGTTGCTAACAGATGCACTTTACACAGGAAACTAGGGCTGAAGCAATAGATTGTTGAAACAACTCAGCTAATTTAACAATCAAATAATTGGGGATCGATTTAATTGATTTTTAATCCATTCCTTTACATCACCTTAAAGAGAAGTCCGGTGAGCATAGAATAAGCAATGGATAATTATCTACAATGAACCCCCGTTTATCACAGGGGGTTACGTTCCAAAAAGAACCAGCGATAGATAAAATAGAAACCTTTATTTTTTTTACAGTTATTATACAATGAAATACTCCATAAAACATTGAAATCAAGGAACAAAAACTTTTTACAGGCCCAAGCATTTGTTTAACAAATAAAAGTACGGTATAAACGTTTGTTGTTGTTTTTTTTTGTTTTTTTTACAAATAACTACTGTACTGTAAAATAATATAGTTATAAATAAATAAATAAATAATCATTTTAATCATCAATGCAAACTGAAGAGTTAATATTGCAGGGATCAGCACCGCCCCGCCGTGACGGATTGGAACGGGAGAAAATAAAAAATGATTATGAAAAAAAATACAAAGTACAGTTGGACAAATACTGACTGACATGTACAGTACAGTAGGGGGAATTAGGCAGAAATGCATACAGCGAAGGAAAAAGAAGGGATGAGGAAATGTAGAAAGAACAATTGGCTTATATAAGTAAAAGGAAAAAGCAATATATACATATCTTGATAAAACTTTTCGTTTAGGGAAAAAGGAAAAATGAAATATATACTATATATATTTTTTGTTTTTTATTTTTAATAAGGTCAGTTTTGGCCCTCCATAACCAATTCAACCAAGATTCTTTTTGCTGAATAACATTTAAACAAGCTTTTTGTTTTATCTGTTTTTAATTAAATATATATATAAATCACATGCTTTCCTCAGGTTGCGAACATGTCAAGATCAAGCTCGAGATCGCCTCATTACAGGTACTTTCTCTCACTTAATTTATGCTAAACTGTTAGATTTTAAATAATTGATATTGTTAATTTTGCTGATTATAATTGTTTGTTTTCTGCTCTGTTATATGAGGTTCCCCTGGGAGGAACCTGACTTTGATCCTCGGACAGTTGTTGACAAATTGGATGGAAATCCTCAGGACAGGGGCCACCATCCCAGAGAAGGTCCTGAAGATTTTAGGGATCCCTACTGGGAGGAAAGGTACCCAGGGGGTCCAAGAAGATCTCCTTTCCGGGATGACTTTCACTTTAGACACCAGCGACATTCAGACCATGAAGGGTTTCACAGATGGGCAGAGTCACCACCCCGTGATGCAATACCGTTAGAAGACCGGAGGTTTTCCCAGAGAGACGAAGGAGGTTCTGATGCTGACAGACACAGAACGGAATTCAGGGATGACTTTTACAGGTTTGATGAAAGACGGGAGATACCTCCGACTCTCTTGCCAAGACTTAGGGGATCGTCAAACACTCAGAGGGTTTACGCAGAACACCATACAAGGAAGGCCTGGGAGGGTCGGAGGAGTGAGGAGCAGGACAGGGATCAGGGAAGACCCAGAGACTTTAGTCCTGGTATAAGGTCAGATGACCAGCGAGCTGAAGAAATGCTAAAAGAAGGAAGGTTCCCAGAGTATCCTAACAGAGGTAGACAAAGGGAGGGCTGGGATCCTGCTTTTAAAAGACCAAGACGAGAAATGGATTTCGTCGATCATCCTGGGTAAATCTTTGGGAACACACTCTGGACATGGGGATTAAAAAGGATTCTCACCTTTTCTTATTTTCCATAGTTGAAATCCTCACGATTTGATTCTCGTAGTTTTCACTAATGAATGTAATAGTTTTATCCTTCTTTCTCTCTAATCTGTGAAATGTTGAAGACAGTGCATGTTTCATCAAAGATCCTGTAGATGATCAGACGTTTCAGTCTTTAAACTCATCCCCCTTTTTATTCTGACGATCTAGATCTAAGAGTGAACATAAAAGCAGATGTTTGTGTCTCCTTTGAATCATCTCACCTCCTCTTATGCCACCACAGGTACAGGGAGGAGAAGGACTTTGTGGATCGCGGTTACTCTGTGCACAGACCCAGAGGCGGGTTTAGAGACCGGACTCTGGGAAGCCTTCCCCGTGAAGACTCAGGACCTTTTGTTGGCGAACACGATCACAGTGTAGAACGTGGAAGGAATCAGCAGCAGTTCGAAAACTTTGAAGATCGCAGAAATGATCCCAACTTTGATCTTCAGAGAAGTCCCAGTTCAGCGGGTTCTTCCCAGGAGCATTTCAGGAAATCCACCAGCCGGCCTAGGGAGAACAGCAGAGGGAAACATTTTCAAAACGATTCCAGACACGGCAACTATCAGGAACCAAGGAGAAGTCCAAACACTATGAGATATGATCAGCAAGGAGGCCCTGAAAACTATCGAGGGAGGGGAAGGGAGCTTGACGACCGAGGTCCAAGAGGAAGAGCCGAACCCAACAGGAATCAACCGCGATACCAAGACCGTACCCAGGGTGGGCAGAGGCCAGACCACCACCCAATCAGAGATGATTATGAGAAGATCCCAAACTGGATAGATGAAGACAAAATCCAACAATGGAGACAAAGCAGGTCCAGAAGTCTGGAACAGAACTCGCCGAGGGACGACCTGGACCCCAAAAGGCCCCCTCAGAGGAACCAAGCGTGGAGTGATCGGCAACCTGATAACATGACGGTTATAACAAAGGAAACGCTCACCATCAATGTGGACATGAGCCGACCCCTTAGCAACAACAGGTAAGAGGAGCGTGCTGGTTGAGGGGTGAAAGTTCACATTTACTTTTTCCTCAAAGCAACACTACTAATGCTACGAGGGGGACGAGTTTAAATGTAGCTCTGATTGAATGGAGATCCCCATCATAGGGACTGCCAGGATGCTGCCTGTTCTGGTTTCTGTCCATCTGATCCAGATCTGAGTGTCCATGATGATGATGATGAGAAAGAAAGTGAGGAAAATCTGGGTCCCTACCATCCTGTAATCAGCGGCCAACAGTGATGACACATCAAATTTCCGTACTGGTGAGGAGCTGCCGTAGAACTCTTTAACTTCATCTCAGTAAGCCGAACAAGTCCAATAAAGAAGGTCTTTGGAAAACTGTGGGAAGAAGCAGATCAAGACTAGAAGCTCAGGATATTTCAGAACAAGGAGGACTGTGTCTGTCCCCTGAAACCGTAAACACTCTAAGACAATCTTTGGCTGTTAGGGTTTGTCAAGAGCTAGATTGCAGATTACACTTGAAGGCGAAGATGAAGTTTGATCACCCGACTGGTTGTTCCTTTGGACAAGAATCTTATTTGTCTCCCAACTTTTCCTCACATAATCAAAGAGTTTCTGCAGGGTTTTATGTTACTTTTCTCTGCTTTAAGCTGTCTGAAGATGAACTGTGTTCCATCGGTGAGACATAAGGTGCTCTTTTTAGCCAACATCCTAGAGGAAGCTCGTCCAAATGACTAATTCTGCTCTGATGGACTTTGCTGTTAGGCTGGCTAATGTTTAGCCAAGGATATGGGTTTAACAACCTCCCCGATGATGGCAGATGGAATAGCAGGTAACAAACATGATGCAGACCTAACACAGACCAAATGGGTCTGAAGTTGTTCCAAAGGAGTTCAGAAGATGAAACCCTGGAGAATGTTTCAGAGCGTACCATCAAACCCTGTCCTGACCTAGACTCAGAACCTGGACTCGTACTCAATGTAGTTTAAGAGAGAAACTGCTGTGGTGTTGTTCAATGAAGAATCTCAAGAACCTGAAAATTTGTTTTTTTCCATGGATATGAGGAGCTCTGGAGTAGTCTGTGTGAAAAAAACATCTGGTTTGATGCCTTAAATATGTCCTTTAAACTCAAGCTGAAGATTGTTTTCCAGTGAAGCTGTGAGGAAGCGATGATGCGGCTGCTGTACCTGTTAAGATTGGGGAACCTGTTGGATAGAAACCATAGAGGTCTGAGCGTCTCCAGAACCGATGAGAAGAAATGTCTAGTTGGATCACAAGAAAGAAAATGTAGAAGATTTTTGCTAAATTGGATGCAATTCAAACCCAGAAGATCCTAATAGACCAGAACCAAGCAGCCAACTGCAGATTCCGATCACAGGAGTACTGGTTCCCCCCAGATGTTAACAGGCTGGGTCAGAACTACCCCAGTGTGCCCAGAATAAACACCTGAACATGGTAGAACCTTCTTCCTTATTCTGTTCATATAAACAGTGTCAGAAGTCAGCTCATTTGGACTGAGGAGAGAACTGATCTGTGGAAAAAAGCCAGATACAGACTTTGTGATGACCAAGTCGGGGCTTTTCCATGGAACTGAAACCAGCCCTTGCCGTCTGAAGCAAGAACCGGCCCTAGCCGTCTGAAGCAAGAGCCGGCCCTTGCCGTCTGAAGCAAGAGCCGGCCCTTGCCGTCTGAAGCAAGAGCCGGCCCTTGCCGTCTGAAGCAAGAGCCGGCCCTTGCCGTCTGAAGCAAGAGCCGGCCCTTGCCGTCTGAAGCAAGAGCCGGCCCTTGCCGTCTGAAGCAAGAGCCGGCCCTTGCCGTCTGAAGCAAGAGCCGGCCCTTGCCGTCTGAAGCAAGAGCCGGCCCTTGCCGTCTGAAGCAGCAACCGGCCCTTGCCGTCTGAAGCAGCAACCGGCCCTTGCCGTCTGAAGCAAGAACCGGCCCTTGCCGTCTGAAGCAGCAACCGGCCCTAGCCGTCTGAAGCAAGAACCGGCCCTTGCCGTCTGAAGCAGCAACCGGCCCTAGCCGTCTGAAGCAGCAACCGGCCCTTGCCGTCTGAAGCAGCAACCGGCCCTAGCCGTCTGAAGCAAGAACCGGCCCTAGCCGTCTGAAGCAAGAGCCGGCCCTTGCCGTCTGAAGCAAGAGCCGGCCCTTGCCGTCTGAAGCAAGAGCCGGCCCTTGCCGTCTGAAGCAAGAGCCGGCCCTTGCCGTCTGAAGCAAGAGCCGGCCCTTGCCGTCTGAAGCAAGAGCCGGCCCTTGCCGTCTGAAGCAAGAGCCGGCCCTTGCCGTCTGAAGCAAGAACCGGCCCTTGCCGTCTGAAGCAAGAACCGGCCCTTGCCGTCTGAAGCAGCAACCGGCCCTTGCCGTCTGAAGCAGCAACCGGCCCTTGCCGTCTGAAGCAAGAACCGGCCCTTGCCGTCTGAAGCAGCAACCGGCCCTTGCCGTCTGAAGCAGCAACCGGCCCTTGCCGTCTGAAGCAAGAACCGGCCCTTGCCGTCTGAAGCAAGAACCGGCCCTTGCCGTCTGAAGCAGCAACCGGCCCTAGCCGTCTGAAGCAGCAACCGGCCCTTGCCGTCTGAAGCAGCAACCGGCCCTAGCCGTCTGAAGCAGCAACCGGCCCTTGCCGTCTGAAGCAGCAACCGGCCCTTGCCGTCTGAAGCAAGAACCGGCCCTTGCCGTCTGAAGCAGCAACCGGCCCTAGCCGTCTGAAGCAAGAACCGGCCCTTGCCGTCTGAAGCAGCAACCGGCCCTAGCCGTCTGAAGCAAGAACCGGCCCTAGCCGTCTGAAGCAAGAACCGGCCCTAGCCGTCTGAAGCAAGAACCGGCCCTTGCCGTCTGAAGCAAGAACCGGCCCCATTTGAAGCCGGAATTAATCTATTGAACCAAAGTCAAAAAGTTTTTTACTCAGTCTCAGCCTCTGGTCTTAGAAGGACAACGAGGTAAAACCTGGTTTAGTTTGGACGGAATTTGTTAAAACTTGCTTCATGCTGACTGGAGAACAAAACACATCTATTGTGATGGTGTCCCTAGAGTAGAAGAATGGTTGAAACGGGCCAGGACAGATTTCTGTCCATCAAACCCGTCCCTAAATGTTTTCACTGCCAACGTCTGACTGAAAGGTATTTCTGGAAATTATACGATCCCATGGAACGATGATTAAAAACCAATTTCTTTTGTTTTTCTCTGGAAATTAAGACCTAGAAGTTTCTGTCTACAGTGGGGACACAGCAACCTGATGATCTGTGGAGAAAAACAAGTCATGGCAGGAAGCTCATCCTGAGATCCTGAGTTTTAAAGGTGCATTTTGGAGTTAACACGTCATTAATCAGTGGATGTTTAATCTCATCAGAGCCACGAGTTAAAAGAATTTCTGTCAGAACACCCCCTAGAAAATCTGGATGTGAATAATCAAAATTATTGGCAGCTAGAAAAGCACTCGGAGAAAGCAGATCTTTTTTTTCAGCTTTCATTGTCATTTCGCTGTCACAAGTACAGAGCAAAAAAACTCTGCATTTAACCCATCCCCTTGGGGAGCAGTGGGCTGCCATTGTGCAGCGTGGAGACTGTGGAACCTCTGGATTCCAAGCGCAGTGCCTTAACCCCCTGGGCCACCACTCCCCTGAACAGTGCCAGTCCTCCACCCAGTACCCCATTTCCCGACATACTGAGACTTCCACCTTAAACTAATACCTATATTCACAGAATCTCTAAAAACAATTCCTGGATCCAGATGGTGATCCAGATCAAGACAAAAGTTAATTATTTGTTGCCAGTCAAAGTACACACCTCTAAAAATTTCAGCAAAATCCCTCAATAACTTTGTTTTAAGAGAAGACACCAATGAAATCATAACCTCCCTGACAGAGATAAAAATCCTAATTTCTGCATAAATTAGTGGAATTAAAGAGCCGTTTTTAGACCTGAAGAAGAAACAAAGTTGGATATCGTTGCTGATATGGATGAAGCTAAAGCTCTCTGAGGAGGAAAGCTGATGTTTTGTTTAAATGGGAAAAGGACTTGACAATATCTGACTAAAGATCCTATCATTCTGAAACAGTCCAATAAAGTTTGACCCATCCAGAAAATCTCACAAAGATTCTTCTTTTACTTCATTCCTCTGGACTCTTCTATCATGGCTGAACAATGGTCAATGTGGACCAGCAGCTGAAATGAGATGCACCAAGATTTTGAGGTATTAATAGAAATGTGAACTTTCACCCTAACATGAGCTCAACAAGGGACTTAACTGTCCTTATAGCCTCTTTACGCTCAATTAGAAAATATGTACATGATTCTATAAGCGAAGAAGTCGAGCTTTAACAGCCCTTAGTATGAGTTATTAAAGTCCTCCACCATTAAAGTTCTTTGAGGAAGACATAAAAGGTGAGTCCATTGGTAAGGTAAGAGGTAAGCTTTTATCACGTTTGTTTCTGTTCAGTTTACAGTCAGAGATAGTTTATGGATATAAAATAAAACCTTTCCATCAGAGTTGGTGTTTATAGACAAGACCTCTAATCCTTTGGCCCAATATTATGTTTATTTTGGAGTTTTGTTTTACTTAGTTGTAATTCTGAGAACATCTAACTCTGCTAATCTATAACATTTCAGATTGTTTTTTAAGAATGATTAAGATATCTAAAGGAAAACATGATCTAAAAGAGGAAATAATTTGGTTGGTGTGAAGTACAAACAGCATGTCCTTGGAGTCATGCGTTGCATTAGCTAGCCCGCGCCTGGAGTCTCTGTCACGCTGATGGCTTTACTCTTCTTCTGCAGCCCCCTGTGCTACTCAACAGACAGACTGCTCTCCATGGACCTAGTCAACGCGGGCCGCACGCGGCAGGACTTCATGCCCCTGTTGGAGCACTCGGGGATGTACCGGGAGAAGGCTACACACACAGGGACTTTTGCCCAGGAAATCATCTCGTTGGTGCACTTTGTCAAAGGTTAATACATCACATACACACTGTGAGCGGAGCGGAGAATAATTTGACATTGAAATTTAATTTCAGTATGACTTTAACTGAAGAGGGCTGGTCTTTTAAAAAAATTGTGAAACTCCAGTATACCTATTTGGTATTTATTAAGTAACAAAGCGTTCTAAGCCAACCTGGCTGTTTGGGAAAGGTTTTCACTCCTTAAAATTAATCACAGGTTTTTCCCCACCTGGCAGCAGAAGCAATAAAGTTACCATAATAATAGAACATTAATTTTTTTACATCACCGTGGAGGAATTTTGGTCCACACTCTCTGTGGTATCATTTTATAGCATGGTCAAAAAGGTTGGTGTGTTAGCCTCTAAAAGGTCAACCCACTCCTGGGCTTTGACTACGCCAATCCCAAACCATTATTTTAAAACTTTCTTGTAGCCTATTGGGGGTGCACGTACATGGCCAGACATTCAGGGTATTGGAAAGCCAGCCATCCATGTCCAAGCAGTCCCACACCATCACCCTCCCACCACCATGTTTTACACTCTGTTTCTAAAGTAATCCATATATATACACCAGATGTAACAAGAAGTTTGTTCTCTCTCCTCCAGTGTTGTTTTTGACAGCCATCTTAGATTAAGTCTTAGTCTCAGTCTTCAGGACGAAAACTATCATTAGTTTTAGTCGCATTTTTGTCATTACTATACAGGTGCTGGTCATAAAATTAGAATATCATGAAAAAGTAGATTGATTTCAGTAATTCCATTTAAAAAGTGAAACTTGTATATTATATTCATACATTACATACAAACTCATATATTTCAGATGTTTATTTTGTTTAATTTTGATGATTACAAATGACAACAAATGAAAATCTCAAATTCATCATATCAGAAAATTAGAATATTGTGAAAAGGTTCAAAATTGATGGCCCCTGGTGCCACACTCTAATCAGCTAATTAACTCAAACCACCTGCAAAAGCCTTTAAATGGTCTTTCAGTCTAGTTCTATTGGCTACACAATCATGGGGAAGACTGCTGACTTGACAGTTGTCCAAAAGACGACCATCGACACCCTGCACAAGGAGGGCAAGACACAAAAGGTCATCGCTAAAGAGGCTGGCTGTTCACAGAGCTCAGTGTCCAAGCACATTAATAGAGAGGCGAAGGGAAGGAAAAGATGTGGTCGAAAAAAGTGTACAAGCAAGAGAGATAACCGCACCCTGGAGAGGATTGTGAAACAAAACCCCTTCAAAAATGTGGGGGAGATTCACAAAGAGTGGACTGCAGCTGGAGTGAGTGCTTCAAGAACCACCACACACAGACGTATGAAAGACATGGGTTTCTGCTGTCGCATTCCTTGTGTCAAGCCACTCTTGAACCACAGACAGCGTCAGAAGCGTCTTGCCTGGGCTAAAGAGAAACAGGACTGGACTGCTGGTGAGTGGTCCAAAGTCATGTTCTCTGATGAAAGTAAATTTTGCATTTCCTTTGGAAATCAAGGTCCCAGAGTCTGGAGGAAAAGAAGAGAGGCACTTCATCCACGTTGCTTGAAGTCCAGTGTAAAGTTTCCACAGTCAGTGATGGTTTGGGGTGCCATGTCATCTGCTGGTGTTGGTCCATTGTGTTTTCTGAGGTCCAGGGTCAACGCAGCCACATACCAGGAAGTTTTAGAGCACTTCATGCTTCCTGCAGCTGACCAACTTTTTGGAGATGCAGATTTCATTTTCCAACAGGACTTGGCACCTGCACACAGTGCCAAAGCTACCAGTACCTGGTTGAAGGACCATGGTATCCCTGTTCTTAATTGGCCAGCAAACTCTCCTGACCTTAACCCCATAGAAAATCTATGGGGTATTGTGAAGAAGAAGATGCAATACACCAGACCCAACAATTCAGAAGAGCTAAAAGCCACTATTAGAGCAACCTGGGCTATCATAACACCTGAGCAGTGCCACAGACTGATCGACTCCATGCCACGCCGCATTGCTGCAGTAATACAGGCCAAAGGAGGCCCAACTAAATACTGAGTGCTGTACATGCTCATACTTTTCATGTTCATACTTTTCAGTTGGCCAACATTTCTATAAATCCTTTGTTTTTATTGGTCTTCAGTAATATTCTAATTTTCTGATATGATGAATTTGAGATTTTCATTTGTTGTCATTTGTAATCATCAAAATTAAACAAAATAAACATCTGAAATATATGAGTTTGTATGTAATGTATGAATATAATATACAAGTTTCACTTTTTAAATGGAATTACTGAAATCAATCTACTTTTTCATGATATTCTAATTTTATGACCAGCACCTGTATGTGATAGTTTTAGTCGGTTTTAGTGGACTAGTTTTAGTCCATTTATGTTGCATTTCATAAAAACAGTTAACTTTTACAATATACAGATTCTTTACCAGACTGACAGCCCTTGCCCAGCTAGATACTACAGTTGCTGGGTATAGAATGCTGCCATGCAGTTCATCATTGCTGTTGGGCAGAAAACTGATTTCTATCATTAAAAATTTTTTTATGAATAAATACCGTACTTTTTAAAAAGTAATAGCAGAGCTAGTTCAACACAACATATTGGTTATTATAGCAGACAGCCAATAACAAAATGTTCAATAAAGGAATGGTTTTAGACATATATGGTTTCCATCCAAAAGCAAACACTTCCTGATCTACTATGAATCATGCATTACACACAGATCAATAAAATCTTTATTGCAAAGCAAAGAACAAAAACATTCTTCTTTCTACTCTGGCAATTTTGGCTTTATTTCTTCAATTTACCTCTTGGTTACTGATGCTCAGGTGTCAAAGTAGATTTAAATTCATAGGGGTTTGGTATAAAAAAATACAGAGAGAACCCAAGTAAATTCCTTGTAATCCCATGACAATCCAGACCTAAACTGAATGAATATTCTAACTAAAATGTGGAAATATTCAAAGGAAGCAGAGAAAATGTTTTAATGATAATACAAGGAAACATTCACATCATATTTGAATAAAAGGAAACAATATCAATGATTACAGCAGTTTGTGAGGGTGCACTTGTGCATGTAAAGTTTATCCATAGAGAAAATGCTCAATAGTGTTTGTGGAGAGCCGAAGAGGCGCACCCCCCAGAGTACTGAGTCCAGCGCCGGGAGACCCAAAGCCCCAGACGCCCAAAGGGACCCCAAGAGTGAAGGCACCAAGGAGGAGCCAGCAAGGAAATCAGACCCCCACCAAGAGGGGAGGAGAGGCAGCCCTGAGGAAGCCCCCAGCCACCGCAACGCCGGACCCCCCAGAAGCAGTGGGGACGAGTCTGCGGGCTTTGCTGACAGCCAGCCACCCAGAAGTGAACCTGGCCATGGGCCCCAGGCATCCGAGGCCCAAGGGGTGCCCGACCCCCCGGCAGGAGCCCCGGCAAGGCCCCGGCCGGCCGGGGCCCGCGGAGAAGCCGCCAGGAATGAGCCAATAGCCACCCAGGCATCCACCCCCAAACCCCGAGCTCCACCAGTGCACCGGCGAGCCCCGACGCCAGCCAGCGGAGGGAGAGCAGGACGAGGGGAATAGAATTTAAAAATTGAAAGCATAAAATTTGAAAAACGAAATCTGAGAAACAGCAAAGTTGCTCCCAAAACCTATTTTTCCAATGTTTATTTTCTGCACATAATTTTTTTCAAATTTCCATTTATAAAACACGTACTTGGCAACAGTAATGAAACAAATTTCCTCCATATAACACAGGAGGTCCTTGCCTGTATGCATCAGAAACAGATGTGAGAATATAGAAGCAGTAGTAGTTAAAAAGTGTCACCCTGTCTCTGTTTTGATGCACCAACCATCTGTTTCTTACAGAACAGTACTTCAGAGGTGATGGACTCACCCTCAACAAGCGTTTTTCTGCTCCTCAGAAAGGAGGATACTCTCAGGACGATTCAGAGGAGCTAACTTTGAACCAGAGGTTCAGTTCCTGCAGGTTAGCTCACATGATCTCACTCAGGCCCCTTATTGGTTGTTTTGGCACATCACGATTTTGACCATCCATTTTTGAACGTCTTACAGAGGCTTCAGTTTAAACATGGACTCTATATTTGATGATGGAGATGATGAGTTTCTGTTTTCCAAACTGGGATCCATGCAGGTGGGATAAAACCAGTCAGGTTGTTAATCAGCTATTGCTGGGATGGTGTTTCTAATCACATGGTTTACCCACTGACAGGGGGTGAGCAATCATCCAAAACGAGACCCAAGTGACCTCAGGCACGACCTGGAGAGGAGGAGACAGGAGAAGCTGGAAGCAGTCAAAGTTACCATCGCCGGGAGCAGCTTATCCCAGCATTCCCAGTCGTCAGACAGGTGAGAAGGATCACTTTGGAAGAACCAGGACTGCTAATGGGGAATGATTCATAAAAATGTCGTCATATAGCTCTAGAAGAGCCAAGTAAGGTTTGCTTTCCGCTCTACTGTGCAGAGGTTCCTGGAAACCTACAGAAATAAGAGAGAATTAAACGTTTAGCCTAAATCCAGCGAAGGTTGAACTCTTCACAATAACTTATCAGTTCATCTTTTATTAAGAAAAGAACCTAATGTGGATCTGGATTAAAAACACCAAAGAAACTCGTCTGAGCCGTCAGATCCAGACTGAAGTTTCAGCTTGTCTGTTTCAGCGAGCCAGACCTGGCACCTCCAGTGGACCACGAGGGATACCCTGGCAGCGCGGGAGACCAGAACAGAAGCCGAGAAGGCAGTGTGGAGAGGGTCAGAGAATCTCATGTTGGGACTGCTCTGAAAGGTTTCCTTATAGGAAGCTAAAATGTGGTTTGGTTCTCCTGCAGGGATTCAGGAAAGGAGCTTATAATCGACCCAATATGAGCCCACAGAGGAGAAAAGCCCCGCTTGGAAAAGAGAGAGTGAAGAAGCACAGCAATCCTCCAGGTAACTTTCTGTTCTCCTTAGGTTAATTATTACAACTTCTGATTGATGTAGAGATTTTTAACATCATATTCTGGTTAAATATGGAACTAATTACAATTATAAATAAAACTTTGCGCCAATTCCCAACACGTCAAAGCACGTTACAGAGACAGTTAAACCAGATCATACAGTCAGAATGGTTTAGAGTTTTCTATCCAAGGAAATCCCCGTCCAGGAAACACAGCCAGGCGGACGAGCTCGGAGCCAGCTGCCATGTCAGAGAATGAAAGGAGCACATCCAGTCAGAGAAACAGGACTACACTGAAAAACAGGCCAAGCTCCAACATCTATAAACAAAGGTGTTGATGGCAGCAGCACAGCTGATATTTCTGTACGAGATGCTGTCACAGCCAAACAGGCACACACCAGATGAAGCTACTAAGAAAAGACGGAGAGAGCAGAACTTTGGACTAACAGATTCTGTAGAGTGATAGAATAGAGATAGAATGAAGCAGAATAATAAAAGGGGTCCCTATGTCCTCCAGCAGTCTAAGCCTATAGCAGGATAACTATAGAGATAGCTCAGGATAACCTGAGCCACTTTAAATAGAAGCTTTATCAAAAAGGAAAGTTTTAAGCCTAGCCTTAAAGGAGAATTCCGGTTTTTAACACTTTTAGCCCATTTTCTGTAGTGTCCATTTTGTAAATCCCATTGAGTTCTGTTGGAATAGTCAATATTCCCCTGCCACCGGAAACGGAAATGGGGCCTGTTTACACAGTTGTAGTCTTTTCGCTTCACTCTGTGTACGCCGACGTCGAGGTGCTAACGTCTCTGTTAAACACTTTAAAAAACTCTGAAAATGGAATACGAAAGGTGGATTCTTGATTCTGTAGTGTCCAGGATGAAATCGAATGATCGACACCAAAAGTTTGACAATTGCTCCTGTCTCTGCTTTTTGGCTCATTTAGAATCCACCCCTGGCTGCTTTAGAATGGCTTCCATAGAGCATGTCCGATAATGTCCTTAAAACAACCTTAAACGTTCTTTTTTTAAAATATGCTACTCACCGGGTCGTCAGCGCTGTTCAATGACGTTCCAAAAAAAGTTTCGTAAAGAAAAAACGTTCCTGTAGTGTTTTATTTAGCATTTTGTAAATCCCATTGAGTTCTGTTGGAATAGTCAATATTCCCCTGCCACCGGAAACGGAAATGGGGCCTGTTTACACAGTTGTAGTCTTTTCGCTTCACTCTGTGTACTCCGACGTCGAGAATCAAGAATCCACCTTTCGTATTCCATTTTCAGAGTTTTTTAAAGTGTTTAACAGAGACGTTAGCACCTCAAACTTTTGGTGTCGATCATTCGATTTCATCCTGGACACTACAGAAAATGGGCTTAAAGTGTAAAAAACCGCAATTCTCCTTTAATAAAATTAATGAAAGGTCCCCAAATCCTCTCGAAAAGATACGGTTTGGATCTCCTAATATATGTTATTCTTTTTAGTGGCAAATTAGACGACTTCTGTTTTAACCACTGAGTGGCGCTAGGTCTCCTGATATTTTTCCAAGTTAGAGCAATGCATTTTTTATTTTTTTTTTGCAAATAAGGAGCTTATATCCATAAAACTACATTCTGATTTATTAAAGTTATATTCCTCAGGGTATAAAGCTAACAGGAACAATTTAGGATCCACTGATTTGCTTTAAAATAATTGTTTTTCAATTATATCTTTATATATTTCACCTCTGTCCAAAATGCTTTAATTTGTTTGCATTCCCACATGCAGTGTAATAAGAGTCCCTTTACATTACATTTTACACTAATATCTGGGATGTTATTGTTGTATTTATTTAAATGCACAGGTGTAACATAGATACACATTAGCTGTTTAAATTGTAGAATTCTAAGACACTTAGTCACTTAGAGTAACAGTGATGAAAGTACACAGACTCACCAAGATCGTCTTTGCTGAAATAATACCCTACATTAAGACAAAACTCTGCAAATATAATATTTTTCTAAATATAATATACATAAATTTTTGTCATTAAAGATAGAATGTATGATTTATAATATAGTTACATGCATAACTGTAGACCTATAAACTTTGAAGGTACAGGTCTAATGCCCCCTTGTGCCTCATTAACAGTGTTTCTTTAATGAGGCCTAGCCATGTAGGACTATTAAAATGTAAACATAAACCTCAAAAGAACAATATTAGTCAAGTACTTGTCCTGGCATCATTTACTTTATCTTTTTTAGCCTTAAAAGAGTTTTTGCACCACGCCTAATCAGCAGACATAAACATGTTTGTGCGCCATCTGCTGTCCGTGCTGCAGAACTGTCTGCATTGTCTGTTTCTAAAATATGGTACTTTTTTTTTTTTTTTGCTATTTGCTTTTTAAAAACACCAATCATTTATCTATATCAATGCAAAATGCAAAAAAACGCAAAGTAGATTTACTGAAAGAAATAAAGTTAAAACAATATAAATGGATTTTAAAGTAAAACCTAGAATTTAGCTATGAGAAATTGTGCATGACGGTTGGCAGATTCTATTGATTTTAATTTATTTAAATAGTGCCAATTTACAGCACATGTTATCTCAAGGCGCTTTAAAGAGACAGTTCAACCAGATCATACAGTGAGATTGGTTCAAAGTTTTCTATCTACACATGAACCAACAGGTCTCAATAAATTATCCTGTCATGTTGAATTAACTCCCTAAAGGAGTAAATGTGTCGGCGCCAGTATTGTTGGAATACCTCAATATCAGATCAATATTAGACACTGTTTCAAGGTTTTATCACCAAGTTGGTAACTTGTCATGTTCGGATTAATGTGTCTAACCCACATGCAGAACACTCGGAGGTAGAAGAAAAGTTCAAAGATTTATTTACAATAAATGTACACTGTTTGATCAGATCCAGGAGGGAACTTGATTGGTCACGAGTGGGTTCACTGCTGAGGAGGACAGAGAGATTAGTGGAGGTCCAGGTATTTTGCAGGTTGAGAGTGTTCAGGTCAGTACCTGTTCTGGAGTGGAGCAGAGCTGCAGAGGGGGGGAACCTTGATGTCGGCAGGCTGAGGGCAGAGGCAGAGCTTACTGAGTGCAGGCAGATCTCAGATTGAGTTTCCTTCCAGTAATCTTCTGAGAGCGGGCAGGCAGATACTTGACAGAGACAGCTCTCCAGAGTTCAACTGAGAACGAGCAGACCGATCACCGGCAGAGAAACTCACCAGAGTTTCAGGTATTCAGGCAGGATCAACCTGGGAAGCAGAGAGGAGAAAACGGGATCAGGTTTGGTTCACAAAAGTCAGAGATCACAGACAGGCAGGTTGGCTCAGGCTTGCTAACCAAGTTTTGCTAATGACAAGAGAAAGATCGCCTTTATTTTGTCACAATTGTCCGGAAAAGCCTTAGAATGGGCGGAAGCCAGATTTTCTTCTGAAACTAGTTTTGGTTGTACTTTTGTGGAATTCATTCAGGAATTTAAACAAGTCTTCAATCAAGACACTGATAAGTCCTCTGAATCTCGCGGACTGATGGAAATCAAGCAAGGTAATAGAACTGTGGCTGAATTCTCTATCGACTTCCGGGTTAAAGCGGCTGCTTCCGGTTGGAACGAATCAGCGCTCAAAAGCGCTTATTTTCACGCCCTTGATTATTCTATTAAGGACGAGCTGGCCACTCTCGATGAACCTACGACTTGGAGGAACTAATTAAGTTAACAATCCGTTTAGATAACAGACCCCGAGCCAGACCCAAGTCCAGATCTAGAGGCCATGTCTTTTCTGTTTCCACTCCTGTTGCTAAAACTAATGACGTCTCTTCTTCTTCAGTTCCCTCAGAAGTTGAGTCCAGATCTAAGAACCGTTATCTACCTGTATCTGTTCCTGTTACTAAGACTCATTACTTCTCTCGTCCCACAGTACCCTCAGAAGTTCGCACCAGGCTCTCAGCCGAAGAGAGGTGTAGGAGGGTTAAAGAGAACCTATGTATGTACTGTGGCGATCCTGGACACTATGTCTCATCCTGCCCGAATGGGGCAAAAGTCCGCCCGAGGAAATGAGGAGTTTGGCGCACCATCTCCAAACTGAGAAATCTCCTCGTCTTCTGTTTCCTGCAACTCTGTTCTTCAAAAGCCTTTTATTTCATCCTCTCCTTCTCCTGTTGTGTTTTTCTGTGGTTGTTTGCTTGTGTTATAGATCAAATTTGATGGTTTACAGCAGCTGGAGAAGGTCTGCTGCTTTATTGCAGAGATGGATGTTCAGTGATCATTTTGTGCTGTATTATTATTATTGAGCCAGCTCCAGCATCTTTTAAACTTCTTTTTAATAAAAGAGATGATGTGAAACTTGGATTCTTGTTTCCTTTCTGCCTCCTTAATCAGGATTATAATGTTTCTACATTTATGAACCCGATGCCTCAATCTGGTTTTCAACATCCTCCAACAGGAGGTGATTATTCTGAATTTGTTTCAGTTCTCCTGAAACACAAACGCTGCACAATATTGCTTCAAATCTGTGATAGAAACAAAAGTTGTTCTCTGCCACCTTTAGCTATGGTTTACATTTATAACCTGAAACTTTACCAACAGCTGCCGAAGATCTATAGAAAGCTAATTCTAAACAAAAAACTCAAGGAATCTGTCAAAGTTTTCTGAGGGCAGAGCTCTCCATCGTTAATTTGATCTAAAGTTAAATCTCATTTCATCAAGTCTAAACAATAAAATGCACATTTTGAGGAAGTCCACAACATCTGGTTCACCTCTAACTGCTTGGCTGTAGGTTGAGAATTCAAATCTGTGCGGTTATCTTAATTATTTAGCTTGTAATTTTTAGTCGAAAATATTTCTAAATCCAATGCAGCGTTATAATATTTTGAAAACTGATTAAGAACAAAGTGTAATATTGTGATAAGGCTGGGGCTATGGATGTCTACTCATCTGCTAACATGTATGGCGACAGTGGCGTTGGATGTTCAAGCCCCGGCTCCGACTTTCATTGTCGTTGTGTCCTTGGGCAAGACACTTCACCTGCATTGTCTACTGATGGTGGTCAGAGGGCCCGGTGGCGCC